CTGATGAAATGAACAGTATATCTAAATTTAAATGTTCAACAAGGCCAATATATAATAATTGGTTTTTTTCACTAGTGCTTTCAGAAACTTGGTTTCCATCTTCAGGCTGTGTTTACACTAGTACAAAAAGGAAATATTTACTCAATAAATTAATTTTAAACAAAGTTAAAACAGATGATTTAAAGGATATTGGAAAAATAAAAAATAATATTAGAAAAATTAATCTTTAGAATTTTGGATATGTTACAGTGTTGTTCTTGATGTAATTATTTTCAGTAATTCCGAATTTATAATTGGGCCGTCTTCATATTTAACAAATAATTTTGGTCTGTTTTTTTTTTTTTTTTTTTTTTTTAAATAAGATTCCCACGCATTAAGATGTTGAGGTTTTATAATTTATTTTAAAAGTTTAAGGTTTCCCAGATTGAAAATATGTCTTGTTAATACTATGACTAGCAAGGGTTGACTTTACTTTACTGACATATTACTACCACTGAGTTCAGGAAAACTAGAGTTCTATCATAGTTGTGTGGAATGTGAATTTAATTCTAACTTTAAATTAATAAAACAACAAAAAACTAATTTTAATCATATAACAGTCAATTATTACAGTGCTAATCTAATGGTGATTAAATAATCTATATTCAAATACCAGTATCCTCTCCAACTACCAGAAAAACAATTAAACTACTTGAGGCCTAAACAGATTAACAGAATCATATATAGCATATAGCCTATACTGTAGTATCAAAAATATTTTAAGTATTGCGACCATTGCAACTGTCGGCTACTCTTTAACCACTTGAAAACACCCATAATCAACAAGCGCAGATAGCTCAGGAGGTAAGGTAAGAGAAGAGGCTCACAAGGCGAAGGTACCAGGTTCGAAACCCGTCTGGGCCAAAAACTTTTTTCTCGTTTTTTTCTTCAAAATTTGTGTTTATTAACTATTTAATCAATTTACTAAACTTATAATTAAGCTTTTCATACTAAATCTATATTATTTTGTGTTTTTTATGTTCAGGCCCAGACCACACTTTATCCCAGGGACATCCCATAGTAGTCCCAAATGTCCTGAGAATGTCCTGAGGACTACCCTGGGATGACCTCGGATGTCCCACGGATATGCGTGTGAGCTTATCCGTAGGACATCCCCGGGCGGGGACATTAGGCATTCCTGTGGATATCCTGTGATATCCCAAGTTGACCATAGGACCACTATGGGATATCTTGCATATCCTGTCGCAATATCCGTGGGATGTCCTGAGGAGAAAGTGTGCTGTCTGGGAATGCGTACCGATAGTCAACACAACTAAAACTTTAAGGTTATGTATAAAAATAATTTGAGGAATCAGCAAAAATAATAATAAAAAGTTGCTAGGCAGTGGTGGCAATAAAACAAAACAATATTATATTGCAATGCTATGGATACTGATTGTGTATTTAGTATGCATTCATTTTTCAAGAAAGTTTAAATAAGAGGGCAGCTGATTTTGCGGCCCTAGGGACGTAAAAACCTGCTCGGTCCCCAAATGACGATGACATCTGTCATGGCCAGCAAAACGTAACATTCAGCCACCAATCAATGTATGTTTTAACTGTTTTAAATATTTAAAAGCATTAAAATTGGTGGCTGAAAGTTACATTTTGCTGGCCATGCCAGCTGTTTTTTTTTTTTTTTTTTTTTTACTGCTGTAGTAGCTTATTCTCTATATGGGAAACTCGATAAAAGTGGGACATTCGTAACAATAGTTTATTAATTAAGTTGATTAGAAACCAACGCCTACTAATATGCAAATGGTTTGCACAGGGACCATGCAGTTTGGGTAAAAAGGCCTAATGAAAGTCAAAGTTGTCAGGATGAATATGGTACAAGTGAAACTACAATGCAACCACTGTTGTTCGTGTTGTACACTCTGCTGCTGAGACTATGAATTCCTCGATACAAAAATAACCACGCAAAAAACTCTGATAGATAATTTTGAAACTTATACCGCCAAGAATTTGACACAAAAAGAGCTTCTTTGGAAGCAAGATGTGTTGTAAGCATGATATCATAACAGAATATGGGAACAAAAGTTACTACAACTCGTAAGTGCATTTGTACATATATATAATAAATTTTGTCTCTCTTTGTTTTGTATTAAAAAAAAATGTAATTTAAGGACCATTTATATCCTCTGCAGGAACTTCATCTTCATCTTCATCGAAGTCTTGGTCATTCAAGTGTTTTGCAATGTTATGAAGCAATGATACAGAAGCAAAGATAATTTTCGGTACATTTGCCAATTTCACCCTACATACATCTTTCAAAATTAGGAATCATCACTTCAGTTGCCCGAAACAACATTCAATTATTACCCGTTCTTTTTTTTAGAAGTCTGTTAAAGTTACTTTGTTTTGCACCAGCAGGGTTGTTGTACGGTGTCATTAGCCCATTGCCCCATTTCGAGAGCTGGATTAAACTTGTTTAACAGTGGAGTTTTTCTAGATACAAGCACCATGTACTAATCCAAGCCAACTTAGCTCTAGTAAACATTTCTTTAGCATTGCATGTACCTTGCACATTTAGCGAAGTTTTATCTTTCCTGTTTCAATATTCATCACCATGAATTCTAGATTTCTCAATACAAACATGAGTACAGTTGACCACTTCAATAGCAGTAGGAAAACGGTACTTACTCTGCCACAAAGCTTTTGATTCTGTTATCTCTTGTTCGGTTGGAAATTTTATCCAAGAACCAGCTTGGGCAATGACACTGTCTGCAACACTTGATACTACTCGTGACACTGTGCTTTGTTCCACACCTCACTGTCCTTTTTGAAATTCGGGATCAAACAGATATCTTAAACATATTTTCATTTTTTGTACTGGGGTTTGTACAACAGACTTCCCTACAAAATTATTTGCTAACCCAAGCACGGTATTTTCCTCGAAACGAAAAAAACTTTTGAAGTCCTTTGTAAAAGGACTACAACAAGATTTATTAACTTTTACTTCCCACACAGTCACCATATCCGCCATTATCAACAACAAAAATATCCTTTTACTTGAGAGTTGAGTCTACTACAGTAGAACCCCTGTTAACCAAATTCGGGTTAACCGAAACGCAGGTTAACCAAAATGGTTCTATAAAATAATATAGGACTGTAAAATGGTTTAATAAATTCAATTGTCTGGTTTAAAGTATTTTCTATCCCATTGTAAATTTTTTTAGCTGAAATAAAACACTGAATTATATAGACATTCTCTTAAATTCATTTTTCCTACACGATACATGGGCAAGTACTGTAAAAGGTTTTACTTTGCTTTATGCATATGGTCCAATGTCACAGCTCACATCAAAAACATAACTTTACATTTTTAAACTGATTGTTACGAAATGATTAATTATTAAAGAGGGAATATAATCAATCTGAGTTACTAGTTTTAAATTTGGCAAAAACATCAAATTATTGTAGATATTTATAAGTTACGACTTACATGAAATTGTTTTAGCTTTTATTTTTTAAATGTATTTAATATTTTTATGTACAACAATAGTAACTCAATAGGGCCTATCTCTCTAATAAAAAATAAATTTTAAAATTAGATCGATTTAAGATTTTTAGACTGTAATTTAAAAAAAAACTAACCTTTTTATTAAATAGAGAATATTTTACAAGTTTATGTCCAGAGAATTTTGTAAGATTATTACTCGTTGCCATATGACATTTTTCTATGGGTTTTCCAGGGCAACAAGAGGTTTTTACAGTGCCTGCAAAATTCAAATACTGCACACACCTTTGCACGACATAATACGGACATAGAATTGAAGGCACTTAAAAAGCTAACGCTGAATGAAAAATGGTTGATAAATCTTATATGTTTGCTGGTTTAATAGGTTTATTATGGGAAAATCACAAAAACTGTAATATATTTTGAACAGAAATTTTTTTTAGGGTTATGGGTGGTGCAAATTTTTGCAGGGTTAAAAGGATTGTAAGAACCAAACGGTTAAAAGCTAATTTTGTGAATGTACAAGTTTTTTATAATTTGATCGGTTATTATGAGGAAATAACCGTCAAAATTTCCAAAAATGAAAAGCCTGGAGATACCTAAAACTACAACAAATTTAATCAAAATCTAACCACAGGTGTAATATTAGCTCAGTAAACATACACACACACAGACATCACTTGGCAGATATATCAAATCAATAACTCAAACTCAAAAACTTTGATAAAAACAATAAACTTTTCCCACAATTTTTATACACAAGGTTGTCCGTGTAGTGGAGGAAGTAAAATTTGTCCTTTACTCGGTTTTTTTTATTATTTTTTTTTTTCAGGTTAAAGTCAGGTTTAAACTTAAAATGGTTTAAAATACCTGCATATAGTAATCCTTTGTTGCTGATTTAGGGGGCATTTTTGCCTAAATCAGCAACAAAGGATTACTATATGCAGGTATTTTAAACCATTTTAAGTATAATACAGTAATCCGGAGGCTAAACAACTATTTTTAAAAATCAGGTTTAAAGTCAATGAGGTATATATTTTTTACAAATTAAGTGTTATGAATACACAAATTTAATTTTAAAGCTCTTAATATCGTTATAATCTAACCAGGTTAATCAGTACTTATAGTTGACTTACCAATCTCTCAGCAATCGATTTAAAATATTTCCTATAGCTTTTCTTATTTTAGAGGTTGGCAGCCCTTTTTATTTTAACATTGCATTCCCATGTGTCTGCATGGGGGGTATCCATCAAAGCAAGGGGTTAGCCGATAAATTACAGGAGTGAACTGTACTAAAAACATTAATGACGGGTACCAGGATCCGAACCCACGACATCACTGCCATGGATTTGTAATCTGTGTCCCGCTACTTTTTGAGCAAAAGAGTCACAAAATATTTTACTCACAACCATCCAAATGTGACATAAAAGGAAGGAAACTTTTACCACTTGTACGGAAAAAAATAAAACAGGTAATTTTACACACAAAACATACTTATAAATAATGCATTTATTAATAACAACATGGTGAGATACAACAATAACATTAACAATAGGTTAAGCTCAACAAAGACACTGTATTATCTAGGCATTGGTTACTGTTACTAGAAATATAATCATAATCACATACGAGATAAAATGAAAGTAAACAAAAGTACAGTAAATTAAATTATTATTATTTGTGTGTTCAATGTTTGTACAGCATGAGGATAAAACCATGATTTCCATTGCTGGTGAGGTTACATTTGTTAGAAATTAGTTTTTAACTACTTGATTACACATAAACTCAATACTGTAAGTGGTAAATTAAATTATACGAATACATGTAACATGTATTCAAATCATAACATGTATATCAAATAGTAATATGTTTAGCAGTACATAAACTATTATGTATCAATATGACAAAGGAACATTCAAACAATGAATTAATTAGTACAAATTAAAGCTTTACAAATTACAAAGGACGAAAACTAATTAACTCATTATATTCACATTTTAACCAAAATATATTGTACCTATTGCAATATCTAATACAATACGGATAAACATACTTCATGATAGATTTGTCATCCTCATGATCTCATCTGATCACATCTGAAGATAACTTTAAAACGTGACTTGTGTAAATTGTAAGTTTGGATGTTTCTTATTTATTTCTTACCTTTAACACTTTACCTTAACCCATTGACTATATTAAAGCTATTACAACCAATTAAAACAAAGTGGTAATATTAAGGAAGAATTAAATTGTACAGTGTACGTTTTCCGCTGACATAGTAGAGAAGCATTTTGACAACAAAAATACACATCAAAACAGGCTTAACGTTTATCAACAGAATGAAAATCATTACAGTACCAAAAGTTTTCCGTTAATGTACCTAAATGCCTTACTTAAATTAATACTGGTTAGTAAAAGAACACCACAAAAATCTAATAAATATTAATAATAGTAATATCATTTAATAACATACTTCTTATTATTATTGAAAAGTTTATCATTTTTGAGATAATAAACCATCGATCTATAAAAAAGATAAGTTTTACAGTAGAACCCTGCTAATTCTACCTCGGATAATCGGACTCCTCTCATAATGTGATTGTGTGATCGCCTATTAGTGACAATGTTATCGCAGTTATATAGTTACCATTTTCTATAATCGTGTGGCATCATTACAGTCTCCAGCAATCACAGAAACGTTATCATCATCCCCAGCAATTGCTGCCAAATCTACGACATCTCCTGCAGTAAGGGAAACATTATCATCACCTACCGCAATTGTGGCAAAATAAATAATGCTACTCGCGGACACGGGAACATTATCGAGGAAAAATCTTACACAGATCCCGCGGTTATGAAAAATATCATTTACTTCGGTGGTGACGGCAAAATATAGAACATCAGCTGAATTTACAGATACATCATCATGGTCTCTCGAGATCGCGGAAACGTTGTAATCCTCAATATCTCCTGTGGTAACGGAAACATCATAATCAACTCCTGTGATCTCGGAAAAGTCCTGATAATGCTGCTCTTCGGATAATCTGGTCCTGTAGGAGACGGATAAACGGGGTCGTACTGTACATAAACTTAAAAACATGTAAGAGTAAATAAATAAACATACAGATATAGATCATTAACGTTACAGCCATTGTTTGACAGATTTTGAAAGATTCATGTAGATTTTTTAAAAGCAGTTTTTATTACTAACAGATCTGACCAAGCATTTTTATTGCAATTCCAGACTTATCAAAGAATATATATAGACTAAAACTTAATTGAAATGCTCGATGTTACAATAAAAACCTTAAAAGTACAATATAAATACTACATTACAACCTTGATTATTGCATTTCTTAAACAAGACCACATTCTCAAGGCACATACATAATATTTATTAGTGATGTGTATTATTACCTTCCAAAAAAAAGCAACATTCTGGATCTATTTATATTTGTTCACCTTGAAATATTTCAGTGAATTTAACATGCATTTTTAATTATAAATAATTACAATCTCAATATTAGCTTGGATACACAGTTTCTAATACTAGTTAAATCAATTGAATTTAATGTATGAACTGTGGTAATGTATTTCAATCAATAAAAGATAAACTGAACAGAAGGATGTTTATTTGATACTTATGAAGTGCAATAGATTTAGAATATATTTTTTATGTAATATTATCAATCTTTTATATAAACTGACTTAATCTAAAGTTCCTTAAGTAGTTTAAGTATTCAATGTTCTTTTGATACTATATTTGTATACTGAATCATGCAAATCTCTGTACTGGAAATACAATATTAGTTTAACTTTTCATAGATTATCTCTATTAAACATATTGATTTAGGAAGAAGAAAGTAGGCAAAAACATGGTGATAAATAAGGCCAGTAGTAAAAACAGTAAAGCAAATAATTATCAGTCTAAAATATAATTGTAAAATATAACTAGCCTAAAATAAAAAATAAAATAATACTGTAAAGGGTGAGATTGTGACTATTGTTTTTAGAGTCTGAAATAATGTATCAGAATATTACTTTAATAAAAACAACATTTTGAGCATTGCAAAATATCGCAACATCTTCTGTTTAACTCATTAAAACAATAATGCTATATTTGTTCACAACATTAAATTTGTAAACAAATAAAATCCTGCCTTTATACCAGACGCAAAATAAATTGAGCTAATAAAACGATATAATAAATGTATCTAACACAAAAACTTAAATGTCAAACAAAATAAATTTTGACTATGGCTCTCCATTTTTTAAGATCTGGGCAAATACAACAGAAAATATCAATTTCATAACAAGTTGTAAGCTCACAGATATTGGTAAATTATAAAAAATTTTCTTCAAATGAAAACATTTTCTTGTTGTTTATTTTCTGTGAACAGAAATTGTTTTGAATTACAACACATTTTAAAATCCGAAATAGGCTACTTCATATCATCAAAATTAGTTTACAGCTGACTTTTTTGCCCTAGAGATGAATGAACTAGATTTTCACCTTGCAGCTCATGTATTGAAAATAGCAGTTTTACTGTGATATCGCAACAATTCATTTTGGGATGATTTTACTTTTTTCATTACAGAAGTTGATTAGGCCGTAGCAGCGCAATATGTTTTGCATCATGTATAGGCTAAATTTTCTTATGTTTAGGCCTCATGTACCAGATCTTTGGCAAACTAAATTAAGGATTCATACTTAAATTCTAACTTAAACATCGTCTAAAAGCAAATGTATTTCTTTTTAAGGCAATCTAGAAGTTTTAAAGTTATGTTAAATTATGAACAGTATGCTAAATTAGATATAAAACTGTAAACACGAAAGGTATTAACAATGAAGAGAATAAAATTAACAATGTGATGCAATTCAACCTTCAACAAAAATAATAAAAAAATGTTATTTAATAAATAACAACTATGCAGAAAAAAACAAAAACTATGCATACACAAACGTGCATAGAGTATTTGTTTAAAGTATAAGGGTATTAGAAGAAGTAAAACTAAATCAGGTTTAATTTTATAACTTTCTCTAGGGCTGTACATTCAATAAAAATGTATTAAAATGCCTGTGTAGAATGACACAACCATCAATTTGGTCTATTTTGCTCCTAAAGAATGTGAATTTATGTACACCTTACTTATGCCCTGGAACTACAAACAAAACCATTTTTATAGATTGATTCAACTGACATCAAATAAAAACATTCTTTAGTTTTATTTAGCAATAAAACGTTTTTAAAATGTCATACACCGACTGCAACTGCTTGCAGGAATGCTCTTGTAAGCTGTTTTGTAGCAAAGGACCTGAGCGTAATGCAGAGTGAAAAACATAATGTCAAAGTACAAAATGGGAATTAGAAATTTAAAATGCATTGTTTGGAATTTTTTTTAGCACACCATGAGGGTCTGATTGTATTTCTAAATTTTGAATACGTTATTCAAGTGTTTTATCCTGTAAAAGTTTTTTAATCATATACTAGGGTGTACAAACAATCACAGAATAGTGTTGCTGTCCTCGGATTAAAATTTGTGTATGTAATACAAATACTGTTTTAACTAGTGTGCACATTAGATGCTTTTTATAAACGAAAAAATTACAACTTCTAAGGAAAAGCAGTTTTAACTTCTATATTTGGTTCGACATACTGAAGACTGAACTGTCTTCCGCGTTTAAGTCAGTGAAACTAACCAATAGGCCTAGACCAGCAACACAGCCATCTTCGTTAATACAGAAAACTTGAACCCCATTAGTGCTGATTACATAGGGTTTACTATAGTTAGAACGTTACATAAACCATCCAAAGATTTGTCCTTTGTTCCTGATTTACTTATTCCACTATAATGTGAGGTAATAACTATGCACCTAGGATGTATACCTGAAGTAGTCTAGATGAGCGTAGCAGTCCAAGGCACCGCTAGGTATCACAAGGGTTCCTGGGGGTTAGAGCTCATAACGAGATCACAAGCTCATAACGAGTTACACGAGCTGCAGCGCTTGACTACATGACTCTCACCGAGCTTCACAGTATCACCGGAGGGACTGTCAACGTAGGAGTTGTGATCGTGTCTCCTCTGCAAAAATGAATAATCATATCATAATGGTGGACTAGCTCGGCTAATCTGTAGTTGGCTGCTACGCACAAGCTTTGGCGTCTTTATGACAGCCTGCCATATAATTTATTCCAAGTAGGGATGGTCAAGTCTCGAAATTTCGGGAAATTTTCGGGAAATTTAAAATCTTGTTACACGAGACGAGATTTCTTTTTGGCCGAGATTTTTATCGAGACGAGAATTTATTAAAAAAAAAAATAAATAAAATAAATAAATAAATAAAAACGCCTGCAGAAAGTCAATGCAATACCCGCAATACAGGAGCGTGTTGTAGTTGTGTTTCCTTTGCGAAGGCGTTCTTATTTAATTAATTCTTCAAATGTAAATATTACTTTTATTATTTTGATAACATTTGAGAAGTTTTGTTAAATGTTAGCAGTGTGAAGAATGTTTTACCACTATAAAAAAAGTCAAAACAAGTAACTATTTTATAAAAATTAATATTTTATTTTATGATTTATTTTATTTTAGGATAAGTTGAACTCTATCCTAACTGATATCACTATGTTTCCTAATCGTAGGCATTTTTAATAATTTAGGCGTGATTAATAAAAAAATGTTATGCTGATGTTTTTTAATAAAAGATTGTAAATATTCTTGCCTATTATCATTATTTTTGTATTTAAACAGTCATCTAACAATGTTACAAAATCAGGTAAAAATTCCGAACGTGCATTTCCCGTTGTGTATGAGAAGGGAAATCCCGTCTCGATCTCGTCTCAAAATTTTATGAGAAATAAAAAATCTCGTCTCGTCTCGTCTCGAACTAAAAATCCAATCTCGTCCATCCCTAATTCCAAGGAATTCAAAGGCAGCCGTTTATTTAGGTTGGGTTAACAGGTACAGTAGACTCCTAATAGTTATTCTCGATAACGGGTGGCTAAGCTAAGTGATTGTGAATAATCATATCGTCAATCGAAATAATGGCTAATGCAAACCTAACCTAAATGCCTGAGAAATAACTAATCATTTACTTTTAAAACATGGCTCAGCTTTAGTTTGAAAACTGTAAAAAATTGTTATACAAATTTAAACATTTTAGCAAATTTTAGGGCTACAGTGTGGCTTGTAATGAAACCCATGTTGCAATTTGAGTTTTTTGAGATAACAGCTTTTGAAACTTCAAAACGTTTGAAAATGCGTAACATGAGTAAAAAGTAAGGAAACGGGTTAAAACCATAGTTTTTTTAAAGCTCATTAAGCAATTAAAGTGTTATCAAAAACTTGAACACCCCACAAAATTCCACCTCTTTGCAGTGAAATGTAAGTTTAGTTCAAAGGTCTGTTTTTTTGTAAGTTTTTGAACAACCTGTAAATAGGGATGATAATAATTTAAAACTTTTTCCACTAAAAAAGACCTTTCATTGTCACAATTCAGTAATTTGATGAGACAGCAACACACTCTAAGGTGCATACATTTTAAGATGAATATATATGCACAATAGGTGAAGAATGAAGTGGGATGACCCATGTAGTTTTGTTGTAGCTAACTACGATCAGCTCCTTCCTTAGCCAGGATCAATCAAAAGTTCAATGACCATGGACAGTTGGGTTCAGTTTCGAACCATCAAAACGCTACAGTAGAACCCCTGATACCCAGCCTCCGTTTTACCGGTCCTCGGTTTATCCGGCCACTTCCAGGAAGCAAATATCAAAATTGTTCTAAACGTTTTTCTCACGGCTTATAAACATGTAGCTGCACGCACTATTGTAGTTGAAGGTCCTCACGATTCATCTGTTATTTACATCTTACTGTCACTACTCAGTTGAGTTAGTAGGCCTAACCTCTGAACATATGGTTGATTTTTTCCTTTGCGGGGTTTGTACAGTAGGTACATTAATTATATTATTTTTTACAACAAAAATGATTAAGAAAGTTGAGCAGAAAATGTACCATTTAAGGCCTAATGATTTTCAAGGTAATTTCATTTTTATTTACATGTAACGGGCCAAATGTGTAGGGGGGTAAAATAACGGTTAAACCACGAAACTTAAACTCTGTGGGAATTAGGCTAGGCTAGGCCTATCTTAAGCTAACCTTGTCTGTTTCAGGTTAACTCTTGTACCTTAACTCCGTAGGTAAGCGGGGTGACTACTTAGTTTACCAGTTGTCTAGTAAAGTAGCTAGTAGAGTGTCGAGTATAGTTATTTCCTACAGAGTCAAGTCAAAATTATCAATTCCCCACAAACTCCCCTGACTAGAGTGGTGATTATAAGCGGTGTCTGGTAACCACTGAGTAGGGTTCGTCCCCTGCTCCGATAACAAAGGCTATCAAATTGAGGCTATCCTAATCACTATCGACTCCTGGGAAAATCCCCGCAACCCGACTCTTGTGATTCCTTGGGACTTCGTTTATCGTACAGGTAACGTAATTTCCCACATTTCGCCGTCAGGAAAATAACGTCACATACATAATTTTTATCATTTGTACAGAACGTAATATTATTTTTTGTTACTTAGAATCATGCTTATTTTTATAATGCTAAAGACTTAAATCTAGGCTACAGCTTAAATTTTCAGATAGTTTAACAAAAATGTGTTTTTTTTTTTATAAACCAAAAACCGGCTTGAACAATACTTTTGACTGTATTTATTGATGGCCTACACATTATTATTAGGTAAGAATTATCATTTTTATAATGGGTTGATTTATCTAACCAGGGGCTTGGTCCCATGGTGGCCGGATATGATGGGTTCTACTGTACACACTTTTCTCGGGATCGAACCGGCAACCCTCTGATTCCTAGGCGAGCATGATAACCACTCATCTATCTAGCTATTTGAAATAATTCAAATTAATAAGTCACCCACCTTCAGTTCCGTGGCGAGACACAAGAATGCATTTTCTACATTAGTGTTCTCCCTGGCCGATGTCTCCATGACGTACAATATCTCAGGAATGTACTCACACATGGCCTCAGCCTCAGCAAACTCCACTTCTCTCAGAGTCTCAAGGTCACACTTGTTGCCTGTCAAGGTCAAAGGTCAAATCATAACAAAGACTCAAATAACATGTAATAATACTCAGTTTAGGTCATACAGTCCACACAAACATGACTTTGGTCACCTGCTATTGGGACTTGGGATGACTTTGAGTCGCTACACACCACGACTATAGCCTGAGCCACCAAAATACATCAGTTCATCTACACGATGTTGATGCAAGCAAACAAGTAGTTACTCATCCTTCTCATTTGCAAGAAGAAACTACGAAAATATCGAAGTGTGAATGTCTGTCTGTTTGTACTTGAAGGAAAAGTATATCTATGAGTTGGCTGACTCAATCAACAAAGGGAGATGCCTGTACTTGTGCAGTGTCATCCCTAGCGTGACTTCAGATAAAACAACACCTTAGAGCGAAACCTGTCACTGACCCCTATGACTGACTCCGATCATGTATACAACCCCCAGTCACTTTGCGTCCTTGTGCACAGCCCTGGACACTGCATTTAAATACAATGTAAAATATCGGCCTAAAGCGACTATGTGCAACTAGACATCCAGGTAATCCCGATTGGGGGACAAGGCGACCAAAGTCGTGACAGTGTGTACCAAGCCTTAGCTTCTGTTCTGTTTACTGTTTAAATTCATACAATAATTAGAAGGTCAATTTTATCCTGTTAAAAGTCTGTTACCAAATTTTTTCCCTATGGAGCAGCTGTAGTAGCCATTTTGTTCTAATAGAAAAATATTAAATTTGCTGCTTACAGAGTGAAATACTGTCAAAATTTGATCTTCTTAGTTTTCAATACTGATAACTGATGTGTCATGAAATATCTCTTCTTCGCAGATTTGTTCTTATAGTTTGGTTTGGTTTAATGTTGGTTAAAGAAACTAGAAATCAGTAATGACAGCACCATATTCAGTCGGAAGTTAAATTCAAGTAAGTTCTTGGACTGACTACATTTCTAAAAGATAAAGAATGTATAGTTCTACCCGTAGACAAAAGTAGGTACTGTATAGCTCTTTTTATACCTAAATTAAATATTACACGCATATACTACTACTATTTTAAAGACAACAATACAGACAATTTATTTGTTCTAGTGCATAATGAGTTAAAATGTAATGAAAACACTGAAAACGGTTTTGGTAAAGTCATTGTACAGGTTAAGTTTAATTGCCACTAATTTAAAGATCGGTTTGTGTTTTAAAACAAACACAACTATTTTATTGTCATCAAACCTTTCCCTTTCCAGTAATTAACTTGCAGTAAGAGAGAGACAGCGCATTATTTTCCCTGTGGTCAAACCATGAAGATATCATTAGAGCTGAAAGTTTAATTGGTAGAAATGTTACTTAGTCAAGCAATTACAACTGAACATGCATAGCAACATTTCACATTTTTTTATATCTCAAACATTTCATTCATAGTATTTTGATGGTTATGATATTGAAAGACTGAAAATGAAAAAAAGAATTTAAAATCACTTTTTGAAAAAAAAAACTTAGAGGTATACAAAAAACAGTATTTAGTATAAAACCTTGTAAAACAACATTGCATATTAATAATCACTACGCTAAGACAGCAACACACTTTGTATGTATTTTAAGTTGAGTATAATTGCAAGGTGATTATAGAATGCAGTAAAACATCTGAGTCCAGTACCAGTTTTGAATTATCAAAAAGCTACTGACTCTTTTCAGGATCAAACCATCAGCCTCATGATGACCAGGGATGATTTTTTATTATATTTTTATGCAGGTGGCATTGTTTAAGAAGATATCGCAAACGCTTTTTGAAGAAATCAAAACAAACACATACAATTTTTTTTTGAATGGCGGGAATTAAACCTGCCTCTTTAGCACTAATATCTGGGACACTAACCTGTTGTAGCTACTTTCCATTAGCAACTTTTCCATTGTTCAATTTATCTTATTCTTACTTTAACCAAAAGATTCTCCCCTAAATAAAAAAAATACATATACAGTACACCCCCTGTAAACCGACCCTAATGGGACCGGACCTAGGTCGGATAACTCAAAAGGTCGGTTAAAACGGACAATCCCTAAAATCATAACATAATAACTGTACACAAAATCTAGCCAGTTTAAAGGGAAGGTTTTCTGGGTTCCCCGCCATATTTTTAAACTCTATATCAGCTGATCAGCTGTCTTCTTTTGATTCAAAATTAAGGGTGAGGGTGAAGGTGGATGAGATGGAATCACTTCTCTAAACTGCCTAGAATAAAGTGTAAAGGGTAATGATAAATAGTTCGAAGCACCAGATGGGTGATGTTCATGTTAATATTGAAAAGAGTAATGGAGAAAGAGAAAAATTAACTCACTTTTGCAATGGTTACGAGACAAAAACCAAACTGTTTATTTACCTTTTAATACAAATTTGTTTTCAAACGATATATGGATCAATACTATACAATGAACACATGTATCCGTGAAAAGACTTTTAAATAAAACAAAGAGCAAAAAAAATAAAAAAATAAAGGTTTAAACTACTGAACTCTTATATTTCTCAAATTGTATTAACTCCACTACAAGCATTAAGAGTGAAAGTGGAGTTATTTGATCAGCTTCTATTTGTAAATTCTTGCGGACTGAAAACTGATAGTAGAACCTCGATAACAAGACTCCCATAGGGATTCTAAAATAAGACTTGTTATCAAGGTTGACTTCTTACCGAGGTTTACAATACCTAACATATGTTTAGGACTAGGAGTAAAATAATTTAAAGAGGATTTGAAAATGAACCTTGCTATCAAGGGTGACTTGTTATCAAGTTTCTACTGTTTTTAATTTAGTTTTCCTGTATGAAATTTATGTGAAACTTTCCCAATTGATTTAAAAACATAACATAGATCTACTTTCTGGTCACCCAGTAGTGATAAACCTCTTTCTAAATATGATTAACTTTTGCAAAATAAGAAAAATAGTTTATTTATTACTGATCAATAATGGAAAGTGTTTTAATTTCCCTTACCAATCAAAATTATGATGACATTTGATGCAGTGTACCTCCTTACTTCCTCGATCCAGCGCTGCAGGCCCAAGAACGAGGCACGTTTTGTGATGTCATATACTGAAACAAAGTTGAATTTATGATTATCAAGCTTCACAACTGAATGACACAATAACTTGATTTATCAGATCTGAGTAGGTACAGGATTTATTGTTATAAGACCTTTTACCATCTCAGTAGGGTAAGTAAACTGAGAGGTAGAGCAAAAGTTAAAATATTCAATTTTTTTTCTTTTATATCTTGTTTTAATGCAAGTGAAGGGTTTTATTTATTTTTTTATGTTTATTTCTTAGTTTGGGTTTGGTCTAGTTTGAACGGTTATCTTTCTAGATCTTTAACTGTCAGTTGTAACAATGCATAGAGTAAATTTTATTTCTATGTTTCTTACTGAAGAATGTGATGTATTTTGTTTGTTAAATATTACGTTAGCCACCAAAATTCAACCTGTAGCCTAGATACGTGTCATATTCCTTCGATAGCGATCTCAATTCTGGCTTAGCCTCTGAGATATCTATTTTTTGCCAACAAATTTCTATTTTATATAGGCAACTACTGTAGTTCATAGTTTTACCTTTTTGTTGTTCAATATCTTGTAGGCTAATTAGTAAGGCTCAAGATAGGCTAGCGTCTAGCAGTTCTCCTTTTGTTTTTCTCTGAGTTGTGTAGTTTCATATTATTTTACAGTAGTAAAATATACAATACGGTTAGTATTTCATACAATATTTATACGATAAAAACCTGTAAATTGCTGGTTTGCAAACTCATTCAAACGGATAGTTGTAAACGTGTTCCATCTAAATGTCACCAAAATTGTAGATTGAGCTTTCAGATATGAAGACCAAGTAAATAAGTTAACAATTTAAACTAGGCCTATTGATTGGTGTTTGTTTATATGACCTCATGAGGGCTAAAATCAAAAAGCACAGTCGTCCAGGTTTGACAGTAACTTACTTGCTACTTCCCAACTGGGAAATTCTGTAGACAAAAATAATGTAAACAAAGGACATAACATATATATAAAAAAACCGGTCAATCCTATTATTAGAATATGTGAAGAACATACCCTTAGTGACAATACTATCTATCTATCTATATATTAATAGGCAAGCATGTTTCTTTAAAACCTTTTTTCTCAGCTCGTGTGCATCGCAGGGAAAATCTACGCATACTGTTGGAAAGATATTTTCCTGTAGATGTGCAGAATGCCTTTAAAAGTTAAAATAGGCTAACAAATAAGCACAAAAAATTAATTTGAAAACTTCAAAAAATTAACATGGACCATATGGGTTGCCATGATGGTGACGAAATAACAACAAAATGTAAACAGAAAATCAAAACAAATGGAAGAAATTCCAATCACATGTTTTATTTACAGTGTGGGGAGAAAATAGAGAAGTCTGTACATTAATTATTTTTGGTCGAGTTTCGACCACAGGGCGATCACTAGTATTAGTTTATTGCTTAAAAGACTATAACTTATTTAAGAAAGGGATTTCATAAAACTTAGATTCAAGATTGAACAAAGGGCATACTTACCAATTATGACTCCATTGGCAGATCTATAATAGCTTTGTGTAATCGTTCTGAATCTTTCTTGCCCAGCAGTATCCCATATCTGTAACTAAACATAAACATTTTGATTCAGCAGGTCTACATTACCTACAGTAAGTAGAACCCCACTAATCCGAGTTCAGCCAGTACAACTCCTCGCTTTAAAGGATTGTGCCATAGGCTAAAGGCCAACAAACACCAGGCGTCCGTCCAGTGGATAGACGATCCACATCCCAGGCTTTTTCTTTTGCTCCAAAACACGGTTGTAGGCCTACAGTTTCAGTCTCTTGTCCCATAGACATGTGATCTCTCACCTCTGCTTTTTAACTGTTCCATTTTAAACTTATAATATAATAATAGGCTAGTATTAGGCTATATTCAACTTCTATAATTAAATAGGTACACCGGTACTTAAATTAAACTAGGTAGCCTTTTTTTAAGGAAAATTAAAACAGTCAACACAGCATATTAGAACGTACAATGACGGAAACTACGTGTTTTTCAACAAGTTTCGGAGATGCGGGGGTTGAAGGAGCTGCACTAGGGAGAGGAGAGGGGTCCAACAACCACAGTGTCTGCAGTGAATCGCTTGCTGAGAAACTCTGTTGAGTCTGCTAGCAGACAGACGCATCGAGTATTCGAGCCGACAGACGCAGTGTGTTTTGCCCCATTAAATAATCAAGGTGGGTACCGGTAGCGATATTTTTGTATGCAAACGGACAGACGCCCCCGTGTACATTGGTCTTACCGGTGGCTATGATTTTAATAAGGTAATATAGTGACTATTTGTGATTGATGAGCAGTATTGGTCATCACTGTCTTCTGCAATTGCAGGAAAATCTTGTCTATCTCCTGCAGTTACGGAAACATAAGTTAATCGTTTTCCACGATCTATTGGAAACTTATCATTTGCAATAATGGCAAAATATTGAACATCATCCACAGTCATGGAACATTATCATTGTTTTCCGCGATTGAGGAAAATCTTAGACAAACTAGTATATGGTCACAGAAAAATAATCATTGTCTTCAGTGACCACGGCAAAATCCTGAACATCCTCTGCGGTCGAATGGACACAACTTAATTGTCTTCTTCCCGAATCGCATCCCACCTTGATAATCTTATATATACCTACTAAATAACTTTTGCAAAACTTATGACAGCTAGCCTGACCATACCACTAGACCGAATTACACGTGGTTGGCACCAAATGAAAGATATTTACCTTTAGATGTGCAGAATACCTTTATAAATTGAATTATGCTCACAAATAAGCACGAAAATTGAATTTGAAATCTTTAAAAAAATAACATGGGTCTTATGAGTTGCCATGGTGATGACAAAATAACAACAAAATATAAAAACAAAATCAAAACAAATGTAAGATATTCCAATCACATGTTTTATTTACAGTGTGTGGGGAAAATAGAGAAGTCTGTATATTACATATTTTTGGTTGGGTTTTCAACCACGGGGCGACCTCTAGGAACATATTATATTAAAATACTTATGGAGACTTTTCTTATGGAGATTTAACATTGGACAAAATTTTAAAGCTTATGACAGCTAGCCTGACCATAGGCTACTACTGGACTGAATTACACGCGGTTGGTACCAAATGTAATTGTCTCTATATTTGTCCATTTTGCTTTGATTTCAGATATTACTTGACTAAGTTTTATAAAAACAGAAATTAAAAAATCTATTGACAATTTAACGTGGGGTAAAATTTTAAGTTTAATAGGAGTGAGATCTATTGGACAGATTTATATGCGCATGTTGTGTTAAATTAAATGTTTCCCATGTGCCTGAAAAGTTTACTATTCCTTTAGTGAATCTTAGGCCTAGGCCTATATGTTAAAAAGCTTTTGGAAAACTTATGACAATTAGCCTGACAATATTACTGGGCCGATTTACACGCGCGTTGTACCCAGGCCCACTTTTGCCGATGGTTGGGAGGCGCCCCCAACCACCGCCCGCAGGAAAAGGAAAAATTGGTTTTGATCAGCCAGGATTTCACAAAATAAAATGGGTGATTTTAACTTGTAAGTTAGTTAAGTGATTTTCCCTTATTGTAAAAGTAAATAAATATAACAAAATTGAAAAGACTTCTTCAGATTATACCTTGTGTAGTCAGGGAAAGGCAGGCAGCAGTATGAACCGGACACACTCACTATTCACTATCAAAGGTAGGGCGGTAGGCCTGTAGACTAGAGCTGGTGACGTTCCCCTACTACTCTCCCTCCCCCCAACCATCGCGATACCCACCTCTACAAATGACCGCACGGCGCCAGTAGGTTGTGCTGTTGTGCTTAAGTGCCTTCTGCATAGTCGTCAAATCAACACAACCTAACCTGTGACAGTCACTAGTCAGTGTTGAAACTCACACTACAGTTAGTGAACCAGTAATAAATAAATAGAAAGTGTTGATACAAGTAGGCCTATTGGCCTAAACAGTGAACAAATTCATAAAAACCCTAGTGGAAGTGGAGCCGAGAACCTCAAGCAGTAGGCTCAAAGAGGCTAGCATCTTTTGGGTTTGCCCAGGGCGCCACTGACCCTTAACGCGGCCATGGTTGTACCAAAAGAAAGTTATGGAAGAAATTCTAATCGCATGTTTTATTTACAGCGTGGGGTTAAAATAGAGAAGTTTGCACAATACATACTTTTGGTCAAGTTTTTGACCACAGGGCCAGCTCTCGTGTACTAACCTAACTTAGTAAGTTAACTTAATGATTGATATTTTAACCGACCTACCTTCTAATTAATTGATAGCAATAGTCTAACTTATTTATAAATATATAGATTGGACTGTAGACAATTAGACTCAATCTAATGACAAATTATAATAAGTTACTTAGGCCTCTTATTGTGATTTCATCACGCAATTACTTGTGCTTTAATCTTGCAACAGTTCATTTAACTTAGTTAGCCTATGACTGAAAGCAAATAAGTAGCCTAATATTATTGGCCCAACCTATTCAAATATTAGGACTAAGTTAAGCCTGCTCATAAATTGATATAATTCTAATACCAAACGTAGTTTTTTATTCGACAAGTCTAGGCTTAAGTTGCAGCAACGAGTTTGTCCACGACGGTATGAATTTAAGAATTGACTGACATTTTATTGATCTAGAGGCTATTAAGGTTAAAAATACCGTTATCTAGATGGTTAGGCCGGCGCCAAACTATCCCGTTTGGCGGGATGCGTTTTTACCGCATTGACATCACCCTGTCACACCATCCAGCTCTAAGCTTATCACAATATACTTCGAGTGAAGAGCACGAGAATCACATGCTGAGCACTGTTGATAGCCACAACAGTAGGGATAAACGAGCTGCACAACCAGATAGTGTGGCTGCTCTCATTTAACTGCATCATGTGTTTCGTCGTACGTTCCGCTACGCCGCAGCATGCATGCGATAGATTCCGTCGACATACGACAACCGCAACAATGTGACTGAACCCAATAAAACCCATGAGTTTGAATCATCCCGCCAAACGGGTCCCGTTTAACCGTTTACCTGCGAAATGGGATAGTGTGGCACTGACCTTAGATTTAAAAGGTTAAAAAGATGTAGGTCTTAGGTACTTACTTTAACTTTCTTCCCATCCACCGTAACTGTCTTCATTGAAAAGTCTACTCCAATAGTATTACCATGCCTTTCCACAAAAGTTCCAGACTTGAACCTTTGAACAACACAAGTTTTTCCAGTTCCACAGTCCCCTATGAGTACTATTTTGAATAAAAAGTCAAAACTTTCATCTGATGATGATGGGCTTATGAAAGAATCTGCAGAAGATCGGGACATATTTACCTCACTTTGGTGCACTAAAAGGTCAAAGTTTAAACATAAATGTTGTTTAAATGTACAAACTTCGTTAAAACTCGTAAAGAAATTAAAACATTTACAAACTTAACCTATGGCCTGGCTTAGTTAAGAAAAATAGAATTGGTATTTTAGTATTCTTTATTTTGCTTCCATCTATCCTATTATTATTCATTCCGATCTGCCTGCTCTGCTTTTGTGCTTTCTGCTTTCTCTAATTTCTTCTGCTGCTCGTTTCGTTCTTCTTCTTCTTTTCTTGTTTACTTATTTAAAGATAGCTTGGTTTAACTACCATGTGGCCATACTATTTCAGCTTATATCATGGTTGTAGTAGTATTTGTCCCTTGCTATAAAACTCAAGTTTCATTTCATAAAGTTGGATTTCTATTTATTTCACAATTTTGTACTAATGGTGGCCATAGCTTGCTATGTTTCCATAAGGAGGGGTTGGTTTCATTCGTACTAAATTAGTTTAAGCAAGTTTCCAGCTGTAATTTATTGGTGCAATAGCCAACTAAACTACTAATTAAATTTTAATTTTAATTATCAATTAAATTTTTTGGTAGCTTGTACTGTTTGGTATACCCGGGTCAGCGGGTTTTTAATTATTTAAGAAACAAAATTTCAAATGCCCGCCATTTTGTTTTAAGAGTTTTTAAAATTGTCTTAATTTTGTTGTAGCTTTGTCTAGTAGCCATAAATATCTGTGCAAAGTTTCAATTTCGTATCTTAGACCACTTTTTAGAAAACAATTAATAAGTGGAAAACCCAACATAGCGGCTGTGTGAGTAAATAAGGACTTCCGTACGATTTAAAAATGATATTTTGATATGTTTCTTACCCAGGAATAATACCCTAAAATATCTGTCACGAGTTCTGAAACAGTTTGACTTAGTAGAAAAATCCACTTACTCGACAGAAATAATTAGAAATTTACATCAGCTCATTTTGTTGGTGGCTCAATATTCAACCACGTCTATTTTTATTCAAAACTGACACGAATGACTAGTTTTATCATTATCAATACTGTAGTCAAAAGTAAAAAAAATCTGTAATCGTCAATGGTAAAATACTAGAAAACTAGATCAAATAGTGCCGACTGCCGATAGCACACCTAGCGGAGCGTTGTACAACTACAACTACAACCTCACAGTTCCAACAAACACCGCCAGATGTAACGGTATACTACAACCGACTACAATTTACCTGCGGGAACAAAGTATAAATAATTTGCGGTTAAATATCTTCACAGTTAATTATATTTCACAAAAACAAGCTAGGAAACCTGTATTACAGTCTGATAATTAGTTTGATGATGACAAAACATTTGTTCATAGGCTCTAAATCAACTACAGGATAAAAGGTTCTCGCAAACAATAGGACGCTTCGGTTTGTATAAAAATGTAGTCTACTTTGTTATCTACTAAAGAAATTCGCGTCGTAATCACAGAAGCTGGCGTGAATAATCGCGCTGACTTCAATTTTTGAAGCCTCTTTTATAGTGGCTTATAGGCTAATATGAACCCTGCATGACATAATGCAGTAGCATTACCACCAGACGAGTACTTAAAATTTGTATCAATGACGGTCCAAGGTGATTACATAGACCGTATACTATTTAAACTCAACATGAATGCAAATGTCAATGGTTGTGTATGGAGACCTAAACCCTAACATCAAAAGTGATTCACAGAGTTTGTTATTCACGAATCACGATGCTGTATAGTACTGCAGATAGAAAATCACGATCTCAGAGAAGACATAATAAAGACATAATAAACAACTCTCTTTCCCATTTTATTTCTCTATTCTGTTGAGCTACCTTTTTTGATCTAGCTTGGGATATTTCATTGTTTGTGGTTTAAGAGGTAGATTGAGACCCTTCCTAATCCTCTTTAAGGGTACCGTGACTATTTTGATAATTTCAAATTACCCAACCATCGTGGATGTTTACCCGCTCGCAGGAAAATTGTCTTATAATAAATTGGAAGCCGTAGGACATTTTAAATTGTACAAAAACTTTCAAATTAATCAGCTAAGTTTGTTTAAGTTTCGTTGTTTAGAATCAGCATGCACTCAAACATAGAAACACAGTAGTGCCCCATCCATTTCAATTATAATTTTAGGGGATCAGCCCCTCATGTCAAATGTCGCACACGGAAAGTCATTTGTTATCAGATAGTTCAAGTGTTAAATCGATATCTCGAAACTTGTTGATCATATGTTTCCAACATATGTACACCAGTCATTTGTTGACTGGAAGTTGTTTAGTGAAAATTTCGTTGATTCGAGTTTTGAAGTTTAGGTTAGTTTCAATTTTAAAATGTCGGTGAACCATCACGGAAAGAAACAAGAAGATAAGACCGAAGCGCTTGGACCAAAGTATTGCTCCAAAGTTCGCATGGGAAACTGGAATGAGGATGTGATTTTGCAAGAGGTAATGCAATTTGGTTTTTATTGGTTACTTAACCTAGAAAAATCTAACTGCTGTCAGTATTGATTGAAAAATGAAAACTGTTATGTTCAAATTTATTAAACAAATTCATTTTTGGTGATACTGTCAGGATTTTTTTTGTCGCATAAACGTAATTGAATGTAAAAAACCTGAACAATATTTTAAAACTACATTGATTTAATTTCTAAACAAATGGAAGCGTAGGACATCAATTTGCCTTAGTGTCCAATCTGCAATAGATGTTAACTACTTGATAAGGCTGTAACATTGTAGTTTGGAACCCACCTTAAATTGTAGTCCAATTATCTAGAAAACGGACAAGGGTAGGGTTTCTGGCAAGGAAAGCCTTCTAGAGAACTCTCTCCCCTAGGAAATCTATAATTAATTATAATTTCTTAAGATGATATTGTAAACTCTTAAGCATTGTAAGATATTTTAAATATTCATGGAACTAAATGTATGTTGTATTACCCACAGATAAAAATTTATCATGTACTCAATAACCATCCAAAACAAATAATTTATGAGATTGTGATGTGAACTTACTCAACATTTTTTTAGGAGAACATAAAGTACTTCTTAAGGAAGAAGGAGAAAGGAGAGCTTATGATACAGAAGACAAGAGAAACTCTATCGAATATACTTAAAGAGGTAAGATTCAATTGTCACATTGGATCGAATCGTAGTAGCTACTACTTACTACCTGTATTCTTGTCGTCCGATGATAATAGGAGTTAGGTATAACCACTGACAGAGAAGAGTTGACCTATTGCTTTTAATTTACTTTCACTTTTTTATTTGCTTTTACTTTTGCATTGTTAACAAAGTGGAATGAAAGTCAAAAGCCTTATCCGTAAATCAAATATAGAATGACGAAAATAAAAAGAATATACCTTTTCCGTGGTTTGTGTATGTTATCATAATGTTAATATTATTCAAGTACCACGAAAATAATTGTCATATAGTTTTACTTAAAAAAATACGTGTTATTTTTAATCGCGATTCCAAACATATTACGGATTAACTATGAGAATGTAAAAAATACATAAAAACTAAGTTTGATTTTCTGAATACTCCTACACAGCAACAACCTTATTTAGAGACAGGGATTAAAACTAATCTATGTAAACGACAAATATTCTAACGTCCCAGTTAACGTGGCACATAGAGCTTATTACATTAACGTAAAATTACTATCCCAAAATTGCCAAAGAACCTTAAAAATCCTAAAGAGAACTCAACTTTTGATGATTTTAATTTTGAATCCTAAAATTTCGGGGTTTTGACAGTTTTTCGTCATATTTAAGTTAAATAGGTTAAATACATGTAAACGTTACAACAAAAATTAAAGTGCACTGAGCTTTAAGTCCTAACCTAGTCTCATGGTTCAAAAAAGGTCTTTAATTATTTTGATTTTTACATTCTTTCAAGTAGTTTCAAGTTCACAGACATTCAAACTAATGTTACCGATCTATGAGCGGGAGAACGATTCGTTTTTAAGACTCGTTCTCAGAGTACAGTAGCTCTTATGTTGCTATCCTGCGGCCTCCACATTTCTTGAAGATTTCGGACACTTTTTGTAGACTCAGGAGAAACTTCAACTACAGAGTTTCACGTGTGCTACGATAGATTTGCCAATTTTTGAATCTCTTCGTATCAGTTCAGGATAACGTTGCCAGTTCTCATTGACCAATCATTAATTAATCATAATTTCTAACGCCAAAGCAACGTTCCGAAGTCTTAAAACAATCCTCAGATGGCAAATCACCTGAAATATAACAATATTAGGAACAAACCCCAAACGAAATCTTGTTATATATTTTATTTGGTTAATATAACCAAACCAACGTAGCAATAAGAAAATTCGGAATCTTAAAGAACATAACCAACCGTATTTCATATGATCGTGCATTAATTGCGCCAAAGATTTCCTTAATTTCGCCAAACCCTCCAAGGGTTCCAACAAATGGTCCTTATAGTTGCGTCAAGTCAAAGCCAGGTTGGGATGAGTTGCCGGCAGTAGGAATAATCTTGTTTACGTGTCATCCTAACCTATCTTAACCTAACGTAACTTAACTTAACCTAACTTTACCTAACCTAACCAATTACACAGTCAAAGAGGGCCGCCACTTGCGACCCCGTTAATGAACTTATCGGGTGGCTCTTTGGAGTAGCTGGCGCAATTCAGGAATAACCGACTACCTGACTCAGGTCAGTTGGCGCAATTAATGCCCGCGCATATCCGCTGAAAGACACAAAACCTCTATTCTTGACTCAGGTACAACTTCTACTCCCGGAGTTTTACTTGTGTTACGGGCAGACCTGTCAAGTTGTGAACCTCTCAGTATGTCACCCCCGGGCTCCCCAGGGCCTCGCCCTCGCTGGTGTCGTTGGTCCGAGGGAGGTGGACGAGTGTCGTCACTTCCTGGATGGATCGCTAGTGGCGGGGTCGCCGATGACGTCACCGGTCGTGCGAAACTGCTTCAGGATCTCAAGGTAAACACTAGGAATGGTGTTTGTATACATTATGTTTAGGCTGACATGAGATAGCTGGTGGAGTGTTATCTTAGATAAAACATAGTCCCTTAGGTGTTATACAAATTATTTCTTACTCATGTGGTGTGGATTAGATTGGATTGAATAAGATGCCGACAAATCAAGGTGAGTATGAGGTGAATATAAGTGATAAATAATGAGATGACAGTTGTTTGTATTGCAAACAAATTAAGGAACTGAGGTATCCAATAGTTATTTTCAGTCAGGCGGTGAGTAAGAAACGATATAGCACGAAAAGATAGTCGCATAAACTTGTCTTGTAAAACGAATAAATCGTTACGTTTATAATCTCCTGGTGCAGCATATATACAAACTCATGTTAGAAAATATCTATTAAGCCAACTCGATTTAGTACGAGTAAATAAAAAAATCAATAGCTTTAAAAATACAGTTTTTAATATATTCTCGCAAATAACACTATTTTTACTATCCAAGGCTGATCTTAGGCTGATTCACAGTCAATCAACGGAAAGTAATAACAGTAAAACTATAATCTCAATTTAATAAGCCACGCTGTCAAGATAATAGAAATATGGCTTTGCTTTCGTAGAGACAACAAAGTAAAAATCAAGCTGATAGTATTTTCTTCATTTCCAGTCCTGAAAACACCGACCTTAACGGTCAACAACTGAAATTCGGGGAACCTTTTGCACTGAGCACAGTTGAATCGCCGTATAAAATGGTAAGTTGCATGTCTTGTTAGGCATTTATTCTTATGAATATTTCCAATAATATTGAAATAAAATACAGAAATACTATACAATTTGTTTCACACGCACACACCTTTCAGCAGAGGCGTGACAGACAACATCAACTTCTAGAAATATATTTCCACTATTGGTTATTTAAATAAAATGTCAAGCAATATTTTATTACTCTAAATCTTATGTTTTCAACATTTCATAATTACTACGAAGTTTATTAAACTAAGTGCGACACTTGAATGAGATTTATATATGAAGTCGAACCCGCCTCTGTTTTACGTCACAACAGTAACTATAAGTGACGTTATAAGCCCATTCTTACACTTGGAATTATTGAGACTTCGTGTAGGGTTAAACTCTAGTCCAAATAACCAATGAGACAGCATACTATATTTTTATAGAACGTTACCAAATCAAATTTAATTGTAAATACTGAACTTTACATATTAAAGGCAATAACAGATGTGGCTCGCTTCCTTGAAGTGGATGATGCAGCTACTACTATCAAACGTTACTGTATTCTTCATCTGGGCCCCCCAAAAATTTAAAATAATTCTGCGAAATCAACATTTTTTTAGATCATAACTGTTTTAGCCTCTTTGGGTTGAGTCTGAAGTGCCTCATCTCCATTCTGTCCTTGGGAAATCCAAACACCCTCTTCTGCGGCTCACATCCTACAAGAACATCTACAGTTTGTGGCGCGCTTTGCCTCTGGAGCCGTCTGATAGGGAAGACCTCCTTGGAACCCCGGTCCCGGTGAGTAGAGCCGTTGATTATAGATGTCTTATAATCAAAGGTGTTTATGTCCCATCTCCTAGGACGCTAAGCTCTATCGAGGAACTGATTTAAATTACAAAACGGCTTGGACAAAACGGTTAAATCACTGAGAAAAGTCAGTATCTTTTTGATAGTTCTAAACGAGACCCAGCACTCCCCGTGTTGCACAGCAGTCCCTGATTATTGGGCTTCAAATAGATGATCCTGCTTATGAAACAGCTGATTTTAGTCAGTAACAAAGCTACAAAGATCATCACACTACACTCCTCTCTTCACTAATTTGGTTGAAATACGGACTAAGATGGCGTCCCAATCTCATATGATAATGATGATGATAATCATCTTTAAGTGTCAGCATAGCCAAAATAATTAAACACGTTTGTCTGTGGTACCAAACTAACCTACCTTTCAGGACATTTCGTTGTTTACAGTTTGTTTCAAACCACATTTGAAACTATGTTAACTTTGGTTTGACTTCGGCGCACCTAAATGTAACTTGAAATGCATAAAATATGCCTTTGGAGTTTGCGTTAGCCCACAGGGCACAAGTGCCTCTTTAAGCTGTTGCATTGAGTATCCCAGCCTTTGCGTGCTCTCCAGTAAAGCAAGGGGTGAATCGGGACAGTCCACGAATGAACCGCACTGATAAATATTATGTCGACACCGGAGACTTTAAATAGTTTAGTGATGGATCGACTACACCAGTAAGTATCATGGTTAGTCCGTCACATTACCAACTGTGCCACCTACTCATAAATAACCACTTATACTTTGGATTACTTCATCTTGTCTACTAGAATGGTGCAAAGCCAATGTCTATATTAGGTCTACTTGAATTCACGAAACGAACGCAAACAGTTGCCTCTACAATACACAAATGAGCAAACATTAAAACAAGGGACGCTTCAAGTGTGGAGGTGATTCGACAACATGCAGGTGAAACAATGAGAATCTTCGGTGTTCCCATCCCACCTTGTTCACCGATGCATGCAGCCGGCTGATGTTCTACAGGGTGTTCCGAGGTCCCGAGTTCTCTCACGATGAGTATGATGAGTACTGTGGGACAATTCAGCCGCTACTCGACGATTTTATTTCCTGCATAAATGAATCTCGGGCTCCAAACTTCGCCCGATGATGAGTAAACGCATTTTCTTTACTTAAAGTTAACTGGTTGGTGTGATGGCAGGTTTTTATGACTTAGTAAATAAAATTTGACCAGCTGAGTAGTTGAGTGCTTATGGTACTCCTGTCAATCAAAAGGTCACCTGTTCGATCCTGAGTGAAGTCAGTTGTAGCCTTTTGATGGTTTGAAACCGGGCCCAGCCTTTTTTGGCTATGAAATTGATCTTTTATAAAATAGTTCTGGATAGAGAAACAGATGGTTTTGGACAGTTAGCAACACAGCTCATCTCACTCCATTCTACAACCAGTTTGCATTCATATTTAGTTTATGACATGAAAGGAGTTGCTGTCTCTAAGACAATAAATACTCTATGTTGATGTCCACAGTAACACCTTAAACAAACTTTAATTATACCTTTGAATCATACATGGAGAAATGGTAGGTAAGCAATGTTCAATAGTTCTCCTTGTTAGAACGAATACCATAAACATTATTTGTAAGGAAAACCAAACCCTAAGAATTTTCAATACCACATCGATAGCTGCGAATGGAACTCTCGCCTTGATTCACTCCTCCGTCTAGACAAGAAACCTTTTTCTATCTGGAACAAAAACTAGTTTGGTAGAAAATAAATCAGATGAAACTACAAGTACGAGAACGCCGGTTTTCTGAGAAGCGGCGGATCTGGTTTAGTTGTCGAGTGGATGAGATAAATGAAACACTCAGTGGCAGCGTATGTGAAGTGGCTATTGCAAAATTCTAGATCCAGAAATAATTATGATTTTATATACCTAAAACAAATATGCAAATTAAGCCTGAACCGATTTCCCCTTATCTGCTGATTTTACGTAAATTCAAGACAAACCATTTAAAATTGTCTGAGGGTTAATGGTTAATTGTTCAATATAATCACTAAAATAAGTTAAGCACCTTCTTCCAAGCTCACCAAAGAACTTTCGAGAAATAAAAACAAATTATATACAAATTATCGGTCTTGACTAAACCATAGACTAAGCAACACAAGGGAGAATGTTTTATATATGCCTAAACCCTCTAAAATATACATTCTGCCGAAGGAAGATTCTAAGACAGAGGTAGTAGGGTCAAAAAACGCTAGTTTTGTGGGCCATACAAAGAGGGAAGATCCGTACACTTACGTTCGGCCATTGACTTTAATTGTATGAATTCAAGGGTAAAAGTTCGGCATTCATGGAGAGTTAATTCCAAGCTTCGCTGAATGGTGAAAAATGGCCAAATAACTCTCTATTTAGATAATGTTTGGTGAATGGTGTAGCCAATCTGAATACGACCCAGATATAGCATGATTAGCCTCTGGGGCGTTGAGGTAAGACAATTTGAAGTTTATTTTCCTGTGCTAGTTTCAAACGATCCCGTGGGGATATATTGACGAAAACATGGTAGCATTTCGTACTCATGGTAGCATCATTAGGCCCAAAACGCCAGGCTGTGTGCTGGATCATCAATTTTAACGTCGTGATTTAGATTGGAAGCGGTACAATTTTGCTATCAAGTGTATAAAGTGACACATTATCATCAGAAGTTGCCGGTTCGATATTGAGAAAAGCCGGATTATTTGATAGTTCCAAACTATAACCGCCTTGGTCGTTTGAATTTCAATTAACGATATGCTTACGGTTTTGTCTAACATTTCATCTAATTCTATACTCATTTTCCACCTTTTGCCATATAATACGCACCCTCTTCCCTCGTCATCGTAAAAATAATCGAACCTAATATTGTCTAAACTATTACTAAACTTGTTTAAACTAACTTGCAGTGGTACACCATAGTGAAATTCAAACACTATATTTGAACTGCAAGACGAGGTACGTAATAGTTTAGTGTACACTACACAGTTCAGGGGTTACAAAATGGAGTTTAACTAATATTATCATCACCGTATTTTGTTATGGTTAGACATTAACAATCATAAATCAACAATGCCGATCCATTATCTATTGCATTAACCGTTCATCTTAATAACTCATATCTTGACAACTTGACCTTATGAAGTATGCAAAAACCCTCGTCATAAGTCGTTAGCTCTCGCCACCGATGTGAGATGTCCGTATAAGGCCAGCACAAGAGTTTAATTGAGCCAAGCCTGTGTGTGTGTGTGAGATGGTAAACGTGTGATCAGCTGTTCTTCTCTCCGTCTGTCGGGTCGTTTCCCTCAGCCGGTTTTCGGCTCACATGACACGACCACGACCGCAAGACATGTCGCTGCGACCAAAATACCGTTGCTTTCGGAATCGAGGATTTTGTTAGAACGTGAGCAATTACATCTGCGTGGCTGGTATTGTTTAACTTTTAGAAGCAAGTTCAGGGTGGATCCAATATTTGCGATAGGTGATGTTAACACGCATTAAAATCCGATAAGTTTGCCAGTCAAAGCCTGTTGTTGACTAGTCAGAATAGTCAACATCGGTGGTCATTATTTTATGTTTTATACATTTATCGTCTTGTAGGTTGTAGTATGAATGTAAATACATTGAGTGTATAGTTTTGGATGACGTATTCTATTCTATCTGTAAAAATACTTTTTTAGTATACCTATACCTAACATAAATAAATCGTAAAAAATGTAAATTATCCAAGCTATGAACTAATTTGTCGCAGTATACGTTGACAGATAGAATGACTCATTGACTTAAGTAATTTGAATTATATGATGAAAATTTAACTACGATATTATTTATTTTACTAAATATGTTTAGCCTTTTACAGTTAACTTATTTTATACTGTTAGATAAACTACACACATGTCCTGTCTGAATAATAGCGTAAATACCACGGTACTAAGATTCCATCAACAAGATAAACCTTGCCTGTAACCAATGATAGCTAGGTACAGTTTTCTTTAGTAAGATCTTTACACTGTTTATGGTCAGAGTTATTAATTAGATTTGAAGCTAAGTAAGTAGTTAAATACCAATAGGTATATTTAATCTATTAAAACATTGATTTGTTTTTGCATATCTAGCACGAATACTAGTATTCGTGATATCTAGCAAACAGTACACGTTATCGAAAATAATCATATCAAACATAAACAAATGTGAAGTCACAACAGCCATAATTTTTGTTCAAGTTTTAAATAACAAGAATAGAAAAATGACAAGCTAAAAAACTACATTTTCCATGCTCGCACCTTTGAACTTTGCCGCTGTAAAGTTCACTGCGCTGTCCAGTGATGTTGAGAGCGCAGGCGCGGCGCTCTTCAGTCAGTCGTGTGTAGTGCATCGGCGCAGACAGAAGGGACGCGCTATCTGGTTAATGTTTACTCCGCTTCCAGCTAGAAGGTAAATAATTACATTCGCTTTTTATTAAAGTGCAGGCACTTTTCATCCTATTGTAAAACCTAGAGCCTGAATGTTGGTGAATTTTGAGTGAGCAAATTTTTGAATTCTTTTAGGGCATAATTTACGATTTCTGCTTTAATTTTTGTTGTAAAATCATACCTCAAGGAATAGTTAAAAATGTTTAAAGTTCACACAGTTTAAAATTTTGTTAATTAAAAACGATGTCTACATTATCTGACTGAGCTAAACTTTAAAATTCGGTTGATTGATGAATAATGATAAATCAGTTATGATAGCTATAAAATAGATAATTAAATGTAAAGATACAACAATATACAATGAAATTTTATTTTACTTTGTACAAATTTAACAAATTTTTTTAAACCATATTAGGCTTACCAACCATTTTGTAAGGGTTTTCACCTGTTTTCAGTAATTTAATACGTTTCTCTGTATGAATAATAGGGGCTTCCTTATTAGCTGATTTAAAGCTGTGGAAAGTTAATTTTGATTTAATTTTTATATCATAATTTATTTTCTTGATATTGCTAGAGTATAAATAATTATGTAGGCAAATTGACGCGTTGTTTAGGCCTTTACTTACGTTGAAGTTGAATGCCTTTTAGTTTGTCTACATTGCCCTGTAATATGCAATTCTGTTCTTGGTTTTTATTTACCAATACAAAAATTAATTTACCCTTTTTAATGTTGATTTGTCAATTTAAAATGGTTTCTTTATAGTTTGCGTCGATTTGATAGGTAATTTAACTAGCGTACATCAATTCATAACAACTTAAGTTCGGAATCTCAAAATTGTATGTACTTAATTAATTAATTGTGTTGTCACTAATAAAACACGATAATTAATCTGAACTATTCTGTTCAGCCAATTGGCCTCGGAGAGAACACAAAGTTACAAAACGATAAGAATTTATTAAATTTTTTTATTATTGCAAGTAACTTATAAGAAATAATAAGTTATTTTTAAACAACATGTTGAAAAAATTATTTTTTTAAATTTCATGGCAAATGTTAAAACAGTGCCGTTATGTACCAAATTCAGTATGCAATACAATTCGAGATTCGCTATTCACAATTTTGGGACTGCATGAAATAAACTTATGTTACAAGGGCATAGAGTAAAAAAAAGTAAATAAATTTACTTTTAAATTGTTGTTTGGTAAAAACTAGGGACTTTACAAATAGTTTGTCAGTAACTAGGGCCAGATTACTAATTTAGTGATGGATTAATTAAATAGATTCTTGATCAGCATCGTACAAATAAAAAATAGTCAAATATAACTTGTAATAGGTAATGTATTTACACTTTTACTGTATACTCACAAGACGGTAAATACATATAAAAGAAATTAAATTCATTAATTGTGGAATATTACTTGGATATAAAAAAATCAAACTGTTGTAGAGTTTAAGGATATAATTGGTATTCCTACTAAAATAGTATTTTATTTATTTTTTTTATATTTTTTTTATCGAAGATTTAAAGTATTTAAAGTGGCATGAGTTAAAGTACGATAAGTACTTAATAAGTATCAAAGTAAATAGAACTTATTTTAATAGGGTATGCTAACACTTCATTGTGAATTAAATCGTGCGTGTAGTAATTTAAAACAATTCTTTTAGGTTACCCTAAGTAATTTTATCCACGAATTCGTGTTTCGTATAAGAGAAAACTATTACGCTTATACTGTTTTCACAGGCAAGAGGATATACCAAATAAAATTATTATAAATGAAATAATTAATGTAAGTCTATAATCTTTAAACTTACATAACAAACGATAAGCATGTGGCGTCTAAGCAGAAAACATTGCCACTCAATAGAGAACATAATTTGTATACTCTAGCTGACACTTAGACACGTATTTCCCAGACAAGTGATCAAACAGAAACGCAATTGATGTTATTATTCTCATTCGCCTATTGCCTCTGAAGATGATTGGAATGTTTAATAATTAAAAATAGTCATTACCTTCGTCAACAGCTCAACACTAGGCCTACAGCTTGTGTATGGACCTCGGACACTTAAAAAGACTTGAAACAGCGTTGTCGAAATTAAAATACACTCTGTCAACAATTGCCTAACCTCGTGCACATGGTTTTCCCGTATTGATTTCTAGTTATGTAATCACTTAATCCATAGTCTTTTTTAATTTTATAGTGATCGCTCGTTTGATTATTATTGTTGGGTGATGCCAACTGATGTGCCGTAAAGGGAAACCAATTAATTCATTCTCATTAAGTTGCTGTTTTTTTTTCAGCATACAATTTTCTCGAGTAAGAGTAACATACACACATACACATTACGTTTCAGCAGTCTCTTCTTCATGTAGGAGATATTGCAGATTCTCGGGCACACCTGACTTCCTAGAAGGTATCTTGAGTAGGTCGCCGGACCGGTCGTAAGTGGCACACCACGGTCGTGGTCGTATACCGCTGACGGTCGTATAATGACAGGCCACAGGCAGCATGTGAAGTGTTGCGCGAATATGGCTAGCGACCTGCATCCTGCATGATACATAGCGAGTTTAGCATATGACAACACAATTACACCAAACAACATCACGGGAATACTACATGGTAAAGCACGAGTGTTACCATCACTCACCAACACAATTAACTTCTCATCCCATTGTTAATTTTGAAGCTCGTTTTAGGCGTCTAGTTTAAGTTGGTGACACTGATTGCTAGAGTCATAAAATTTTGTTTATATTATTTTGGGGTTGAATCTAATGATTTGTGATTTACTGTTTGGTTTTATAACAATAAGTTATTGTTAATGATTAGATAGTTTTATTTAGTAAAACGAGTGTTTTAATGACTGAATAAACAAGAAACAAATTGTAAACAAAACACAACCCCTATAGTGCACCTGACAAAATTCAATAAAATTGGCTTCAGCCTTCCATAAGGTTTATAAATCTACTAAGAGAGTATGTTTCTATTTATGTTATGTGGTATGTTGCATCACAGCCATACATAATTACAGTATGCTATGCTAAATCACTAGCATGTTATTTTGTGAGTGTGCTAAATAACTACCTTAATAATTCACCAGTATGTTAAATCACTAGCATGCTATATCCACAAGATAGTGGATAAATAGATCTCAAATATGCTTCATCAGAAGTATAATTCCACACCGCCAGTCAGTATGTTAAATCACTAGCATGCTATATCGTCAGTATACTAAATCACTATGATACTACATCAAGAGGATGTTAAATCACTACTATGCTATATTCCCAAGATAGTGGATAGATTCTATCCACTATCTTGTTGGGAATATAGCATACTAGTGATGGATAGATAGATCTCGAATACGCTTCATCAGAAGTATAATTCCACACCGCCACTAGTATCACTGCCTGTATGCTAAATCAAGGATGTTACATGGTAAATATGCTACAAGCTACATCACAAGCATACTAAACTTCATCGTGAGTCATGTACCTAATTACTTCCTACCTAATGATGGATAATGTGAGTCACTCTACATACTATATTGCAAATATGCTACATGCTACATTGCAAGCGTGCTGAATCACCAGCATACTCTGTCAGGATTCAATCACTTTAGCATACTACATTATCAGTATGCTAAATCACTAGAGTACAACATCGTGAGCTCTGTGTTCATCGCAAGCTTGTTACATTGTGTATTTTACAAATATCCCGTAACCGTCTGCGGTAGTTTGAGAGGTTTGATGTCCAAATAACTGTACAAACCGATGAACTGGTAAAGCTGAACCAGAGATGTGGCCGATGACCGGTGAGAACAGATTACATGCTTTAAATCCATCTCTCAAACCATGTGACATTGGATTAAACTATGGCGCTTCTTGGTTTTCCATGTCTCGAATAAGGGCCAGCAGACTTTTAATCTTTGTTTGTATTTACACAACTGTGGATTCTACAAAATGTAGTTATAGCCTCTCAGTCAGAGTGTTATTTTAGCCTAGATAATATTGCAAGCATGTAAGATATGTACAAAGTAATACAGTTTGTAAAAAGCATACCCAATAGTTTTTATAAAGGTTCTTTTAGATGAAAAAGCTATTACCAGATGATTTATTTTCAGGCAAATGAACCACTCATCATCAGTCATGTGGCATCGAACAAGAACCTGTCTGTGGAACCGGACTTCTGGTTCACAACATACTTGGGGGCTGTAAGTGACATATTTAACCAAAGTCACAGGTAGCTTAGAGAAAACATCCTTATGGTGTAAGCTTCTCAGTTGTATTGTTGACGTTAATATATAAGGGAATATAAGAGTCATCTATGTGGTTCTAGTAGTTCATTTTTTATTTAAATGAATGCTACATCATGGATTTATATGGAGATGCTACAGCGCTTACAAAAGGAGAGGAGATTTAGAGGGGACTTTTCCTACTTTCCCAAGTAATTTACGTGGATATACTCAATTTGTAGTGTATAATAAAAGTAGACCTAAATTATGTACAATCTTTATAGGTATACCTAACAGTTTTTTTGGTAATGTTCACTTATTTTACAGTATGGTATAATGAAATACTTACCAGTAAAAATTACCAATTAAGGAATATTTGATTTATTGTTTGATTGACTATTATACATCACACACTATTATCGAATGAACAAAAGATGAGGGTTCGTTGACCTTGTACATGACAGTAGTTCACAGAACAAATCCCAACTATCTTTAACTGCACTTAGCCAGGGCTATCCCCGGCACTTACCATGCTCAAACTCATCAGAATTAATAATTGCTTAAGGATTTATCACCATTAAAAAAAAAAATCATTTAAAATAAAGTTTTAAAAAAGTTGAAAGTGAGGATAGATAATACAGTTCTGTGGAATCAAGTCGGGGACATCAAAGGCCCTAAACTGAAATATTGGGATTTTTCTTGGGAGAGATTGGGGCGATCTAGACACCCTTCAATGAGCCTTTGATGAGTAAGCTAATGTAAATTTATATTTGTTCTCTTATTAGTTTTTGATAAGGGGCTTTCGTTTACAAAGGTCTCTTGGTTTGGAATGGATTGGTTGAAAAGAAGTGTATTTGACAGAAATCAAGTTAGTGCACTCTGTCAATGAAAATTCAACTACAGTCATATATATTTTCAAACTGGCGACAGCATTAACGTGGGAATCAGATGTTTAATTAAACTGTTGTGAAAGTTTGTGCCAGTTAAATGTAAATACAGCACAGAGTTTTACCTGAAAGCAAACAAAAGAAGGGAAGAAGAAAAATGACACCAGGTTGGTTTTTAGGGAGAAAAAGAATGAAAGAAGAGGGCGGCTGAGCTGAGACAGTGGCGGATCTAGAACAGTCACAAGGGGGGAGGGGGCGAACTGGGGGGTCCACAGGGTTCCGGGGTACCCCCACCCAAAAAAATTTGTGTTAACTAAGTCTCCAAAATGGCAGTTTTATACCATTTCTTAGTCTAAAGTTAGTGTGACAAATTATTTTACGCCATGTGTACGCACTACTGTATTACATGCAGTAAAAATATATATATACTAGCTGGCCAGACAGACGTCGTCCTGTCCTAATGTGGTTTTATGTCAAGTGCTCGTTCATTTTCAAGATGAGCTCGTTTGCATTGCTCAATCACGTCATGGTTGAAGTTCGTTCGCTACACTCACTCACCTTTAGGCTGGAGCTCGTTCGCTGCGCTCACTTGCCTTCAGGTTAGCTCGTTCGCTACGCTAACTCGCCTCTACGTTGAAGTTCGTTCGCTACACTCACTCACCTTTTGGTTGCAAATTAGCTGTTGTCATAAATAAAAAAAATAATGCTGCACCCTGTAGGTAAACCTATTAACTAATGCTTTGAACATTACAGAATTAAATTGTTAAGTTGAACCAGCTGTTAGGATTCTTTAATTCCATTTAGGTTAAGATGGGAAACTCCAGAGCCACTGGGGCGGAGCCCTTTTGACGGATCTGCACCAAACTTCACACAAACCATCCTTGAATAATGCTTAATAATGCCTGAAAGTTTCATCACAATCTGTCGAGCGGTTTCGGAGTCCAATAAGGACAAACAAACATACAAACATACATACATTGGATTTTATATATATAGATGAATGCCCGAGGGGGGTTGATCCTTGGTTAGGGTTAGAATATATTTTATTGATAAAATAAAACGATTGCCTTATCCAACCATAGTTACTGGTATGACAACTAGTTTCTTTCCATAAAACTTCGTCAGGTCATTTTGTGTGCAGCCACATCATCAATGTATTAATTGTGGTATGTCAGTAGATTCTTTCAAAGACTGTCACATTCACAATAACTAAAACTTATCATGTTAATAAAATAATTGAAATAGAATATAAATTGATACAACTGATGAAAACTATACCTAGCATTGTCCTGACACTGGCCAGCATTGTCTTATCACTGCCACTGACTAAATAAAACTGACTGAATCATGATGTTTATTCTTCTCTTCAGTGCCACCTGTATTTCAGTTTGTTTTGTTCTTCTTAAAATACTTCTTTGACACTGAGCTATAATTCTAACTGGAGGTAGCACTGAATGTCAAAGATGCGTGTCGCCAGCCGCCATGTTTGCGTGAGTCTGGTGTCATAAGAAGCCATATTATTGCTATAACTATTATTATACTTGGCTTAAAATACCTACTTTGTATGGTCGCCATTTCAAAGAAAATTATTAAAGTATTAAAAGTATTCAAGTATGACAAAAATACTCACTGCTATACCAACCTAGTTATAAGAAGCCATGTCATTGCTATGATAAGAAAACTTACTGCTATACCAACCTAACAAAATCAGCGACACGCTTTTGACAGACTTCTGCCATGGCAGTGCTACCTCCAGTTATAATTTTAGCTCAGTGTTCTTTGATATGTAACTAGTCAAAGTTACAAATCAAAGAAGTATAAAATAAGAAGAACAAAACAAACTTAAACAGGTGGCACTGCAGGGAAGAAGAAGCAAATATACACAAAAACTCCTTTAGAATGTAGATTGAAGAGGAAATTTGAAGAGAAAATGGATTTCATCTTCAATCTACTCTATAATGATTACCTGAAAATCTCGGTGTTACGTTTTGAGATCCTTTTCAGTAATAGTCCTGTTCTATTTGATATTTAAAAAATTGGATATGGTTTTTCATGGTTTCAAAATGTGTGTAATAATAATGACTACTTCTAAACCCTCAATCTATGGCTCAGACTTTTGACTTTTTATTCTCATTTAAAAGATGATGTTCTCACTTTTTTCAGGAGTGTGAGGTGACTGTGAACACAGACCTGAACATTTACCGAAGAGAAACGTCAAACAATATTTGGATGCTGGTGACCAACAGGCCGAAGGAGGAACGATGGTGAGTCTTAGAAAATTGGTTTATTCCGTACATTACATACAAAAGTTGGAATGACACTTAGTTCACTGTACATACACTAAGTTACACAGTAAAAAATCAGTCTATGGTTGAACGATACCATCGGTTTCACTTTAGGTTTCACTGTGAATTTAGAAGCATATGATTGATGATCAAAAATCATTTAATCATGACCTTTAAAAGAGATTTCATGCTTCATGCTAAAAGTTAATTTGTTGTAAATATATAACTTTTTCGGTAAAACTTTCCTGTCACAGTCAAGTGGTGTAGACCTGAAATTTCCAAATTTTAAAAACTTTTTAGAATTGACTTGCAGCCGTATTTGGCAGGCTAATTTGATATCTAGGACAACCTGCTAAAGAGGAGCAATTCCAAAAAACTGTGACAGGAACACACTTCAAAACAATCTTCACAAGAAAATTAAATAAATTTTAAAAAAAATGCTACTAAAATTCAAAACCAGTTTGATTTTAAAATGTGATATTGAAAACTGAAGTGAAACATGTGGTCGTCGGTCGATTACTTTCACTTCGAATACAAAATAACTTTGCATTAAATATAAGTTTGAACGACATGGATAGCGACAGAATGAGCTGAAAACTGACTTCTGTTTATGAGACTGCATTTCACTTGAGGCGAAGACAAGACATTTGAGCATTTACATTTTGTTCTATGGCATTTAAAAATAATTAGGTTGAAAACAAATTTTGACATAAAAAGATAGGATACAGTTTTGATTCAAACAGTAAGAGCTAAAAATTCTTCTGAGGAACAACATAAAACATTCAACAAATCATTTACATGATTGGTAGGCAAAGATATTCACATACATTCCGTTGGTATAAAACAGAATAAATAATAAAACTTATGCAAATAAATAGAGATACATTTTTGATTAGTATATGTTACATATGTGTATAAATTTAATCGTTATCACTTTATTGTATAATGTACAACATGGTTGAAACTTTGGCACTTGAATGGTGGTAGGAAGGCATTACAATTCCGTACTCATCTCGTGAAGTATTCTTGGATTGTTGTTCACTTCATTGCCCACGCCATTCTGGGAATTCTGCGGGAAAAACAGACTCTGGTTATAATATACAGACACACTAGCTTTGGTTTCTAAATTGAGATGATAGTAACTTAGTTAGTGGTGAATTGGATGGTAAAATTAATATCTCATCTATATCAACCAGTTGTAATCAGTAAAAAAAATAAATAAAACTGGATGGAAGAGGAAATGTAGAGGGGAGACTGGCTAGAAACTAAGCACCTTCAACCAGTATGAGCAGTATGAGCTAACCAAACATGAAAGAAAAACAAACTTAAGATAAACTAACTGGTACCCACGGGCTTCACTCTGTTTGACTTCATAAGCATTAATAAAACTATTGATTGGTTAAGTTAAGCTGAAATAAACAAAACAGAATACAGTAACACAAACAATCACACCTGATTTTAATAAGGTAATAAATTGAAAGAATAACAAACAAATAAGTACAGCTGAGGTATTTTTTACATTAGGTATATGGAAAGTTCCCTTTTGAAAGGAATTACGACCTTAAAGGGCAATGTATGAAATATTGGATGGTTTTGAGCAAGGTTTTTCGTCATGATGAACTTTTTTTTCTCAAAAGTTCATGGGTTCTTTGGGATTTATATGTGGATGAGCCATACAGACATTTGCATTTGATTCCAACCATAGATCCACACAGATTTTGAAAGGTGCTGCCAGTTTTTGTTTTTACTCTATCACAGAGTAAAATAAGGAGTACACTATATAAACAATGAAATCCAGTTCATTAGGACAACTACTTTGATATGAATGATACAATGATGAACGATATTAATTTTATTGAATAATACCATATTGACTTTTGGGTACCATACTGAAGTAGTCATCCCATCTGTATGGACCAGCTGTCACTTATTTTTCATTAAAATTGAACATAGTTGAAAGCAAGTCATCGATTGCGATAGTGTCTAAACATATTTTTTTGACCTTAATTTTAGTTATTGAGATGGACTTTGAGAGAAATTAGTTTTAATTTACATCAGCACTATCAGTTGACGATTTAATTAAACTACATATATTTTTTTAAAAAATCTGGTGACAACTTTAACATGAGGATGGAATGCCTAATTCTATCAACAGTCAAAGATACAACACATTTACATATTTTTTTTCAAGCAGATGGTTCAATGAAGATCAATGATAATTATGGTTGCAATAAATTGGCTGTGGAAGCAAATTATGGCAGTGGGGATGGGATTTCTACAGCAAAAAATAAATAACCATGCTAAATTAAACAGTTTATTATCGTAAGCGTTATAAGCAAAGCCAAGCGACTACTCACTATGCCTGATATGTACCGTGTTCTGTTGGTAATACAACGGCCCACGTTCCGTCTCGGGCCATTCTCTAGTTTCACTCATCTTCTTCTCTTCACTTTGGTTGTGATTTGGCGAACTGACTGAGTCTTCAGTTCTCTTCTCTCGGTTATTCGTCGAATAAAGACTAGTCTTGTCGATAGACAGATTACTTCTGTTACGAAGGGAACTCGAACTACTACTCGAGTGTTCTCTGCCGAGCTCAGAACTGGCACTCGAGTGAATACTGTTGTGGTCGTATCTTCGAGGAGCATTGTGCTCGTAGCCGATGTTGCCATTCATCTGAGACCAGAAAAGTAATTTTGAACTATAAGTATCAAACTACAGATATTGGTTGCTTCAGTAGCTACAAAGTTCATTGTCTTTGCCATTTGTACCTTCAACCAATGAATACAGAACCTTATAAGAAGCGAAACTGCTGTATTAAAAGAGGGGATGCTAGGAAGCCAACGGTAGTTCACAAAGATTTATGTAGGAAGCGCTAGCGTCGCCAGCCAAGTCTTTGTGAGCTACCGCTAGCGGTGATCTTCGTAGTGTCGCCTCTTTTAATACGGCAGTTTCGCTTCTTATAAGATTCTGTATTAAGTGCTTCAGCGCTACTATTGGACTTGCATGCTTAAATTGAAGTACTAGCCAAGTAGTCTGTAAGTGAACTCCAAACATGAATTTTATGATGAAGAGCAATTACCGGTAATGCAGTGCTCGATTTGTGAGGTAACGCACGCGGTGAATTGGAGTTCCGCTACCTCTCTTTCGGGAAGATAAAAAAATTTCATAAATAGATACAAAAAACACATTAAAAATAGGTTACAGTTCCGGCACCCCATTTTTACAAATCGAGCACTGCGGTAATGTATTTTGACTAACAAGTTTAATGTATGTGTTTCAATTTTATGGTGTTGTAAATGTAGTATGAGAATATGGAAAATGAACTATTAGGCCTCAAGTTTAATTTTTGGCCTGTTTTTCCGATAACTAACCTTTCTCAAACTTGGTAACCCTCCAATCTGCATTACGCCAAGTTAAACATTTTTTTTATATATATCCTCCTTTTTACCCTTGAATGCTAGTATATAGTCTTCTAAAGCCATTTTCACAATACTTCAGACTCAGCCCAGAGGATAACAGATAAAGTCCATTGGTAATTGGCAGAATTCTAACCCGGGACCACAGGGGCTGAAGTCCTGCATTAGAGTCTATCAGGTGGTAGACCAGCTCGCTACCCTTGATAACAGTAAATAAAAGTTACCGTTGTCATAAAACGAAGAAAAAGAATTACCTGGTGTGGACGGTGTAGGGGAGTGCCGTAGTTCATGTAGCTCGTGGCAGCGTGAACATGCTGTAGGAACTCATGGCTAGAATTGAGGTTGGGAGGGCTCGGGTATCTGCTGATGTTGTCTGGGAGGTTGGTGAAGGAGGAGTGGGGAGTCGTAGGATGGGAAGGGGAGGGGGAGTGGTTAAGTTGTGGACTCTGGTTATAGAGTCCGTCTACGATCGTGGGCCAGGGGAGTCCAACAGTCCCTCTAACTTCTGGACTCGTCCACTGCTTGCCATGGTTGGAGCTGGAAAATATATAATTTTTAATAGGGATGTAAAAAAAAAACGTTGAAGTTACACACAGCTGTAAAAAAGAAAAGAAAAGCTTAAAAGTTAAAAATTATTCTAAATCAGGTTTTAGATTGATCTTAATGAAAAATTATTGAGTACTGAAAACCTATGTAAATAAAGCTTACTGTTAAAAAGGAGTTTCACAAACCTCAATTCGAAAAACAAGCATAAGTTTGTCTACAAAAACATGAATCTTACTCAAGTCCACATATTCTTCGTAAAATATGTATTCAACAGAGCATTTACATTGGTTTTCAGAACTCATAATTATTACACTTGGATCCTTATATTTTATTATCCAAACAAGCATATATAGAACATTTTTTGAACTCATTGTCCAAGAAACTGGTAATTGAAATTATATACAACTTTGTTATGGATTCAAAAGTAATCATCAAGGTCTACTCATGTATTATGTTTGTTTTAGATACCTGTACGAGTTTTGAGAGCGCATGGAGTTGAAGGGGAATGGTCTTGGAAGCAGGTCATTTTTTCTTCTCTCTGAAATCCCAATCAACGAACTACTTGAATTCTTCCCTGGACTGTGGATGTACTCCTTGCCAAGCCTGCAAAAACGACAAAATTCATTGTTTTCAGTCCTAAATATAAGTCTACTTTTTGGGTCTTGTTTATTTTTTCCTCGATTCTATCAAATCAACTTTGAAAGTTGTTGGAAGTATAGATAGAATTCAGATTGCTTAGAGCGTTTTGGGCAATACAAACTCTCAGAAACCAGACTCTGTTATAGTACTTTGTTAGTGCAAGAAAGAGTTCATTTCACTGTCTTATTTTGAGTGATTAGATAGAACAATGATGTAACACACTTGTTATGGCTAAAATAGTTTTAATTTTGGCTGGTGGGAATTTGATAAACTGTAAGAGTAGTTAAATTGAGTCACGGACTGAGTTCTACTATCAAACACTGATTTCTGTTCTGCTGGATGTTTAACCAAGCTAAGCTGAAAGAAACAAACATAGGTACTCTACACTAGAGCATATTTTGTGAACACAAAATGATACAAGTATAAAAAGCGAAGGCAGAACATGTAGTTATTTTGACTGCAAACTCTGGGAGTAGCTCATTCAACTATGTTCTATTAAAAAAAAAAATAAATCAAAAACTGGTGACAGCTGTTCTATCCATATAATGATGTCTAATTCAGTATTTGAAGCAAAGTCAATGCTGCCATCCTAACCCTAAAACATTCCGACAAGTTCTACTGCACAAACTACCTACCAGGCAGAGTTGTCAACGGAGTCCCTACGATGGGGACTTGCGGCCCCGTTGTGTCCCGCCCCAGACGGAGGTAAGTGAGGATTGTTGCCTAGGAGGGTGGCAGGGTTACCATACAAAGCAGAACAGAGAGAACGAGTGGTAGCACTGCTAGACATCTGCCTAGATTGGCTGTGGTTCATCCTGGAAGAAGTGGAGGAGCATACGGTATTTAGAAGATATGTTTTATTATGTTCAAAAAGTGAAATTGGCAAATACCAATAAAACTAAAAATATCATTCCATGCATGAAATGCAACAAGGACAGTATAAGGAAGAAGTTGAAAACTACACCAAAATCAGCTGTAGTGCAGACAGATAAAAAAGAAAAGTAAACATGTCTAAATAAATACTATACAAAAATCTAGCTGACAGACAAGTTGGTGTATCAAAACCACTGAGCTATAATTCTAACTGGAGGTAGCACTGAATGTCAAAGATGCGTGTCGCCAGCCGCCATGTTTGCGTGAGGTGTGAGTTATAAGAAGCCATATTATTGCTATGGCTATTATTATACTTGGCTTAAAATACCTACTTTGTATGGTCGCCATTTCAAAGAAAATTATTAAAGTATTAAAAGTATTCAAGTATGACAAAAATACTCACTGCTATACCAACCTAGTTATAGAAGCCATGTTATTGCTATGGTAAGAAAACTTACTGCTATACCAACCTAACAAAATCAGCGACTCGCTTTTGACAGACTTCTGCCATGGCAGTGCTACCTCCAGTTATAATTTTAGCTCAGTGATCAAAACAGATTCTTTTAAGGGCTATTTAATCAGCTGGGGATTATTTTTAATGAAACAGAGAGGTAGAACAAATTGTTTTTCAAAGAAATTAAAAAAATTGTATAAGAGTGTATAAGGAATTTTCAGCAAATAGGCCCTAATTCATTTCATTTTGCTTTTAATCTCCTGATCACATTTAAATACTATACATTGGTGTAAATACCTGCATTTATGTGATCTTTGATGTTGCATTATGGCAACTAGTTTTGATTCAACACTGGACCAAAACAAGAAGATAGTATAGTGAGATATTATATAGATTCGTAGTGAGACATTGCACTCAAGATACTGGAGGCAGGGGATCAGATCACTTCCGCTTACCTACAATACTATCTTCTCGTTTTTGTAATTAAATATTTGTTTGTTTTATGTCCATGTGTGTGTGCATGTTGTATTTATTATTGATGTTTACGACCTTCCAATGAAGATACAAGATGACATCCGTCCTAGTCTGAAGATGACTCCAGTGATGAGTCCAAACTAGTTGCCATAACCATTCCATAATACAGGATCACATAAATGGAGATATTTATACCAATTTACAGCAAATAATTTATCATCCATTAGGATAAAAATAGGAGAGCCGGCCTATAGATGTAGGATTAAGATTTTGAAAACTACTATTTGTTTCTCTTTAGGCTGATTTGAATTGCAAAAAATATATATTGGTAGTTTAAAAGTTTGTTTAGTTGAATTATATTGACTATTGATGGTCTTGTTACTATTTAATGTTTTCTTATTTCAAATTATTTTCATTGTTACAACAATAGCTCAGTTATAAAAAGTAGGAAACAGACAAATGAAGATAAGTATCAGCATTAATTAAAGGCATTTCCGATTGATACTAAAACAATAAACATCAATGCAAATCAGATGGTGGATTTATATTTCAATAGCTTTGTTGCTACTTTTATTTAAAATGAATTAATTTTGAAAAAAACAAGATTCAAGCTCAACGCTTTAAGAAAATAATTATTCAAAGTGAACACAAAAGTATCCCTATGGGAAGTGTCTAATCATTTAATTAAAGTTATAATTTTCCATTTAATTTAAATGTGAAATAAAATAATTTATAACTAAATGATAGAGGTTACCTATTCAAATTTAGTTGAGAGAAATATTGCTTTTGCACCTTTCAACACACACAAAAATCTCCCTGAAAACTATGAACGCTTTGTATATTTGAGGAAACTAGGGATTATTTTTGTCGGACGATTTGGCACTAATGAAATGTGGAAAAAAGAGTTTTAATTCTATATTTTTTATGACATTTTCCGTTATATTGGTTTGTGGCATACAAAAGTTTCCAGTGGAACACACATTTATTTTTTTCCCTTGCTATTTTATTTGTTAGAGAAATACTAAAATACTTCATATTATTGGATTATTTGTCTGTTTCCCACAAAAATTGTGGTATAATACTGATTTGTCGAATATTATTTGAAAAATTAGCTAAGAAATACGTTTATTATCAAATAGAAACGAATAATCGCTGACCAAAAATGTAAGAATGTTCCAAAACCTAGACGTAAAGCATAGTTCAAAGCAGTTCAAAGCATAGCCCAGAACAAATATCAATCTATTTGTGGCTATCTTTTATCTAGGCAAAGATCAGAAAACTATGAAAAGATTCAATCGCATTTAAAAAATATTGGAAATGCCCTTTTTGATGTGGCTTTGTTTTTTTTTACTGAAAAATAGAGCCATTTTATAAAACTGCAATTTGGCTTACATTAGATACAAAGCTTGACCTAATCTTAACGTTTGTTCCCTTCTGATAGATCCTGCAATTTATTTTACATCCCTCGCATTAAAAATATTTTATACTATTGTATTTTATCCACGACTTTTTTAAATTGTTACCAACAATGGTATACAATGAATGGTACAGTACAATGATATGGTATGGTTCATAATTTGATAAGGTTTGTGAGATAATATATAACACCACAACAAACAAAAAACAATAATTGATTCTTCATTTATGGAATAGTAAAGATTTAAATTATTGAAAACTTGGTCTTAAATAGGTTACAAATTTAATTTGTACGCTAGTCGACTTATTCCAATCGGAAACTCCTTAATTAATACTCATGCTTACCTTTTGCGGGTAGTGTAACAGACAGACCCAGGAAATTGTCCTCTACGAGACTGAAAACTTTTAAACCACTACACAATTATGTGTGTTGTGTACATTATCATCAAACATAATTGATTACTGATTATTAAAATCTCCAACAATATTCAATCTCTTTTTTGTACCGATTACAACACAGCCATATGACGTTTTAGCGTTAAAAGTTACATAAGTAACAAAAACTTAAAAAAGTTCTTATATAATTTGTTCAAGCCCAACTGTCCGTTACCATTAGACCAAATGATCCGAATGGTGCTTTAACATAGTGAATTTAATTTATGGTACAGGAAAAAGTCACTTCGTCAAGAGAGAGATGTCTGTAGGGTTAAAAATTGATGACGGAGGTGGACAGCCGTTAGCATTGACGATATAGTCAATGGTCATAGTCATTCCTGGCTTTATTCCAGCCAAAGACACCACTAAGTTACTGTGTTCGGTTAAACACTTGTATGAGCTGCATGTATTTTTTGACAAACAGTGACTGTACTTGTATATTTGATATTTGTGATGCAATGCTATTTATCTATTACAATAATTTGTTATTACAAATAATATTATAGGTTATACATCTCCAATACTGACCAATAAGCTGTGCATCATTGATATTTTATTAGGATTTTAGAACTCTACGGCTTTGAATTTCTTTTGTTTAATTGGTAAAACTGTTTATTTTAAAATATTAACTAGTTTTTAAAATTGCTATTTTATCATGTATCCTTTAAGATGGCTGATAGTTGTATTGTAAATTGTGTACAAAATCTACTGAAGACACTAAACAAATTAAAAAAGTGATTTTCTTTTCTTTTATTCCTAGTCCCTATTGTATATTATTCTAGAAAGTGCTGATGATACAAGTTAATTTCTTGTTTTAAATACATTGTTTGAGCTAGGATATCAGATTGTCAGACTATGTTGGCTGTATCAAAGTGTAATTCTACACAAAACAGAATATTATATAGATACTAGCTGACCCGGCGAACTTCGTATCGCCTAAGTTATAGGTTTCCCCTAAGACAGACCGATGGAAAGAAAGTACCGTTACGTTTAATTTTCAAGATGATCTCGTTCGCATCGCTCAATCACGTCCTGGTTGAAGTTCGTTCGCTACGCTCACTCACCTTTGGGTTGGAGCTCGTTCGCTACGCTCACTCACCTTTAGGTTGGAGCTCGTTCGCTGCGCTCACTTGCCTTCAGGTTAGCTCGTTCGCTACGCTAACTCGCCTCCAGGTTGAAGTTCGTTCGCTACGCTCACTCACCTTTTGGTTGCAAATTAGCTGTTGTCATAAATGTAAAAGAAATAATAGTGCTGCACGCTGTTGGTAATCCTTGTAACTTTAATGCTATTGAACATCATAGAACAGAACCAACTTGTTTAATTGAAACAGCTGTTAAGATTCATTAATTCCATTTCTCAGGTTAACATGGGAAACTCCAGAGCCACTGGGGCGGAGCCCTTTTAAGAATTTCGAAACGGGAAATAGTTTACGTCCGATTCGCATACCTACAGAATTTACACACCAAATTTCATAACGATCGGTGAAGTCGTTCCGGAGGAGTTTGCAGACAAACACTGTGACACGAGAATTTTATATATTAGATTCTCTTTCATTTTTCCTGCACTTGACTTTACTAACACAAACTATATATTTTTATGTAGCATGATTTTGGTCCTAAAATTGATTATCTTAGAATAGTCACATGTACAATCTCAACAAAATTATGTTAAATATTTTATTTAGCACATCAAAAACAAGATTTTATTATCATTGACTATATATCATGAGTATTTGAGTGAAAATTTAAAAACGTACGTTTTCATGTCCCTGGCCTTTTACTTCGTAGATACTGGATTTGTAGTTTATTATTATGTGTTTTAATATTTTTTGGGACGGGGGCAACATGTTACACACATTTATTTGGTTTTAAATAGGTTCTAGGTATTTTTTTCGTATTTTTAAAGTCTCGAAATTCACGACCATGACGTGTCCCTAGGGTGCATTTTCCAACTTTCACACTGTTTTTAGACTAATTATTCATACCGAAATATATAAAGCCATATTTTTATGTTATCAATGGTTATTAAACTTACAAAAAAGGAGCATATTATAATTTTATTGTCATTACAAACTGACTACCATGACAAAATAAGTCTGTCCCTCGATTTGGCGTCACGACCATTTGGGAAAATTTTTCAACTTTGGAGCACGACAGTGGCAAGCCTGGCGTCGATGGAGTCAGTTGGTTTTAGAGACTAGTTCGGGGTGTACGTCAGGATTGTAGTGCCGGTCGTTTTGAGTTGAAAGGAGGAATTACAAGATTAATAAAGGAAAGATTGTGTTTTTTGTAATTTTGGTGTGTCCATGACCGTACGTAGTCATTCGATGAAGTAGACATGGTGTTAATTTTTGTTTATAAGATATTTCAATTGCTAGATTAACCTAGAAGTCCACTTTGTATCCTCGAACATGAGGTGAAGGGCTACCGCCAGAACAGAGCCAAATAACACGTAATTTCACGACCAAAGTTTCACGACCATCGCGGGTTTTTTCACGACCAATCCAGCCTTATGGATTATAGTGTGTTTGGTCGTGACAATAACTTTAATATAATTGTAAATTGAACAGTTAAGTTCAATTGAAACACATATTTTTATTATAACTAAAAGGATAATTGAAGGATTGTTTAGAACGATTTAGATTATTCCAGACAATTCACGACCGTACCGCTTGTCCCTGACCATCACGTTTATGATTTCTATCATAAAAATTTCAAAAATTAAAATATCGTCATATTTCAATGTTTTATACACAAAAGAAGCACACCTCTATACAAACATAACGATTTTTCGGGTCTCAGGTAAGTTTTTTCGGAGTTATACAAACTTAAAAAGATTTTATTGGCTTTTTTCAATTTTTTGAGTTTTTTATTTTTTTCTAGAAAGACCAAATATACCAAAAGCTCAGTGACCTATTTATTGTATAATGGTCATAAAAGTAAATAAGTTTATAGCAAAACATAATTATAAAAATAATATTAACTATTTTTAATATTCATTTAAACGTCCGTTATGGTCGTGACAGGATTTTGTGTTTTTCCACTAAAGATGCTCTTTTAAAAAGAAACTACCAAAGATATTGCGTTACCATGGACATTTTATGAAACTTCAAATGTTAATGAAATAAAAATAATAATAAAAGTTTTGAAAAAAGGGGAAAAGAATTTGCAAAGTGCTTTTCCTGAAAACGTACGTTTTTAAATTTTTACTCATTTAAGAAGGAATAGTATTTTGAAGTAGACATTAATTCTTCATATAACCATCTACAACAGATGTGTTTTCATCATATAGTTTTTAGAGAGGAAAAAAATGTCACAGTTAACCTTCATATTTAATTTATTTAGTGTAAACCCAATCTTAATAGTACTGAGATCCCTAAGTCAACGATACTAAATACAGAACATCTTAGATTAATCTTAGGATTATACTTATCAAAAGATAAAACACAGAACAGTCTGTTGCTTGATAGTATTATTATACATTATACACTTGATACATGTAGGTATTAAAAAAAAGTGTACCTAAGGCTTATAAAATGAGCTAAAGCTATAGTTTAAAGAATTTAATAAACAAGACAAGATAAAATAGATAATTGAAGAAAGAAGGAATAAAACTAAAAATTCTAAAAAGTGACATGCACAAACATTTAATACAAATAAATAAAGCTTTTGTACATGCAACACACAATGTACAGTATAAAATGTCAAAACATATATCTACTTAGACTAAACTTGTAATTATAAGAACCAGAACATGCTATAAAATACAGAAACACAACATGCAAACACATTGGCACAATATAGACTAAATCTAAAAACAAATATGAATAATGCAGTTGTGAATAATACAATTCATCGAACTATGGGAAACTCCATACTTAGAAACTGTAGATTTTTATTTAAAAATTAGTAGAAATTTTATTTTTATGTTTTTAAAAATATTGTGCCTTGTTTTGTTGAAAATTGAAGGTTTACAAACTGTATGTAGATTCAATCTCACAAATAAAATAATTACAAAATACTATAAAACGGAACAAAACCATGTTAGGGTAATATGGTCTGTTCAAATTTTGGTGCAGAAGTAACTAACTATTTACAATCTTTACAATGTCATACACAAGTTTCATTTACGTTTTATTTGAATAAAAACACAACTCAATAACTCTTATAAGTACATATCTATACAAAAAGATATACTATTCAATTTAAATCATTTTATACTTTAACTTTTTATTATTTTCACTGCAGCTTTTTAGGAACATACTGTATTTGAAAAAAAATCATTTTCTGAATTTCATACATCATAATTGACATGAAGTTTAAGTACAAAATTATTTGAAATGCACAATAATCTATATTATTCTACATTTACATGAAAAATTTGAAATTTGATGATAAACAATGTACTGATCGTGATTAAGATTATGTCAACCTCAAATTTGTTTCATGTTTTGTAAACAAACTTGCCATTTTCAACTTACTGCCAAAGAGATGGTCCAGCATTGTTTAGAAAATATTATTTCTCTATGTTTAGAATTATTTAAAACCAATGACTTTCTAATACTGAAGAAGACACCAGCTGTCTCCAATTTTTATTCAAATTCATAGTTTAACGAGCTTCCACTAAATGTGCTACAGTCAAAATTCAATTTTTTCACTTATTTGTTGACTATAGTATGGTCAATGTGACATTGAAAAATTTATTAGTGCACAGTACTTTGTACTTTCAGTTCGGTTTGATCAAGAAGTTCCCGTATTCAACACTCTGATCAGCCAAACACCAATCATCTAGATCGCCAATTATCCAGATTACCACAAGGAGAAAAAAAGGTAAAATAAATCACCTATGCTGATATCAGGTTATGCTGTTTGGTGCATTTGTAGTCTACGCAACAATGAGACGAATCAAGTTCACTAAATTTTATTGCAGTTTGTTTTGATCTGTTACATATTTGTGAGCCGCTAATTATGTCAATCGTGAAATGAGTTTCATGTAGCCTTATCTCAATCAGCAAACAATGAAAAATCAAATCATCCGGATTTGGATAGTCCAAATCAGTTCCGATCGTAATTTTTCCGAATGGTTTGGAGTTCTACTTATGAGTAATTAACATCCGCACACTCCGTGTGTGCATGGACTATTGGAAAGGTGGTCCATAGAAGGGAGGTCTACTTCCAAAAATCAAAATTGAAAGTCAAAAAGAGATTCATGCAGGATCCTCGGGTCAAATAAAGAACCCACTCGGTTGGTTGTCGTCATACCTGGGTAGCTGGGCGGTGGCAGAAGCAGGTGTAGTAGGGGTAGTGCCACTGGCGGGGGTATTCTTGTTGAGAATGTCCGCTAGAGCGGGGCTCTCAGAGTACGGAGGAGGAGGGCTGTCTCCTGTACTTGGAGGATCCTCCTTGACGGAACTGTTTCCGGGGAAAAAATTAATAAATAATAACAGAAAAATTAAAGTTTTCATTTATAATTCATTTACTTGTGATATAGCAACGCATATACTACATTGTTAATTGTTCAGTAGACTTCTTATAGTTGATACTGGAAAATCACTCTTTGTAACTCAACTGTGTCAACCGATCCACTGTGTCCTTATACAGGATCATTTCAACAAAGGCTAAGGTTGATTTGGCTAAGGCTCTTTTGCATTTCTCTAGTACCTGAATAATGACATGGCAGTTAATTGGTATGCAAAATTGATGAGCTCTCAAACCTTTGCTGTCCTGTAAAACATTTGTCTACTTTTAAGTTAGAGAATATACAACTAATTTCTCACCCTTTGCCCCTCCTTGTAGAATGTGGCCTTCTGGTAGGAGAGAGCCGCACTCTGACAGCCTTAGCAGCCGTGTTCGTCTCTACTACTTTGTACGGAATCTCACGTAACTGAGATTCTGACATTCCCTCTGTTTCTACCAACCGGAACTCCAGATGCTGCTTCAACTCGTCCGGAAGCCGAGACTTGCCTTCCGAAGGGGAGCGCGACCTGGATCTGTAATTGTGAAAAAGTTGAGTAATTTTGCTGCTTTTGGGAATGTTATTTATCAGTGAAAATTGGATAATTTTCTGGAATTGGAAAGCAAATTAGTGATATTTTGTTAGGTTTTACACTAGCTACGTTTTACAGTAGATGATCAAATGTAGCTAAAATAAAATTCCACTAACTTAAGAGGGTTTCTGATGTATTTGATAAGTTTATACAACAGAGAAGTAGACATTCTATTCTTATCTTGATGTTGTTACCAGCTTAAAACAAAAAGAGTCTATTAATTTAAAAACAACTTCACCAATATTTCTGAATTTTTAATTTTATGAGGCCTTTCACCAGCTATCCTGGCATCATCAGACACATCACAAAACTGAAGGTCTAGTAAAAAAAAGAGTCTAGTTCTGTTATGGCGGCATTGATTGTTCTGCTACAATATTGGCGTTTACTTCACATAAACTTCAATGAGCATATTTTATGTATCATCTACTAACACTGTATGAAAAATCCAAATCAATAAAACATTATGTAAAAAGGTCATTCATCTAAGCACTCTCTTTTATAATCTGAATACAATTGGTCCATATAATTAGGGTTTCTACATTCAGCATTCAAATTCGATGCTTAATCCTGAAATGTTGTCGATGAAAGTTTGATAAAGTGTAATATACTTAAAGTTAACCAAACAGACCTGTGTTTCCTATGTTTTCTCCTATGATGGTAAGAGTGTTCGCTTTCAGTCTCCATCCCACTGTTCATGTAACCGCTACGCCTGACAACCGAAAAATTAAAGCTTTAATTTTTACTGAAACAACTAAAAGAAAAACATATTATAATTTTCAAGCTGGAAACTAGACAGATAATTAATTAAACATGAAAAATATGCAAATAATGTTATACTTGCAAAATAAGAAAAAAAATTGGTATCCCAATGACAAATGGGATCCAGAATCAAACAGTATATACTGTATATGGTTTTGGTAATGGTTTAACAAATGTCCACCTAAAGTTGAGAGTCACACCTTTAAAAAACTGCTATATATTACCTGTTGATGTTTTGTGACTCCTTGTTACTGATAACAGTGGCTTGTTGAATCCCTGAGCTGCCTTCAGCTTGTCTTCTCTGAACCTCCTTCCACTGACTCTCAGAATCCACCAGCTCGTACCTACACACAGTTATAGATTAGATAACTTACGATATGCCAACACACATAGGTGCATAGGTACTGTTGGACAAAGATAAGTGAAGGGTGAGTGCAAGGCCCCACTAGAAAAACAGGCCATGCTGCAGGATTCATGACGTTACACTTGTGGATAGATTCACTGCCATATCCCTTATGTTTTAGGTAAATATAAGCTGGCTGTTTAGTGTTTACGTCTGGCAACTTTAGTACAAATCTATCTATCCACTACTTTGATGTAGTGTTGCAAATCAACCAAAACACATTTTAAACTTCACATAACATGTCGGTGAGAAAAGAAAAATGGTTAACAATCCGGTTTTGGATCTTAATTTTACGTTGCAAGCAAAATTTTATGGATTAAAAAAATTATATTTGATCAAACATTGCGTTAAGAAGATGTTTGACCTGATGAAGACAACCTGAATTATGAAAATACACCCCAAACCTTATAAAAAATCCAAATAATCTGAAATCTGTAAATTAGTTGGTCCAGGCTAGAAAGAGTAGATGGGGCATCTAGAACTATTGTATTTTAACTTGATGAATACTTTTAATTGAACTTGACTTCACTATAGTCAGAAAGAGGTTGTAAAGCATGAGAAAAAGGTAAAATGATAATCAGTGTAACAAGGAATGTTGGCGTTTTTAGAATGAATAGTGTAACCAACACCATATACATGTTACCTAACCAAGAGAATACACGCGAATATACACGCGAATATACGCGAAGAATATACGCGAGATGCCATACACGCTTCATACTGCACAGTGAATATAGACTGGAATATGTGTGCTAACTGAGGAAGGACGATAGTATCTAGCCTCGTACCTGTGTTTAGAGCTCTTGCTGTTGTGTCGAGAACTAGAATCTTCACCACCCGAGGCTCGTCTACTGCGATGCCTGTGTCTACGAGACTTACCCCCACCACTACACCTTGACAGCTCACTCTCGTTGTCCGAGCTTCTTCTGCTTCGGTGATGTCTATGTCTAAGGAAAGAAGAGGAAATTCAAAGATTATTTTCATTCTCGTTTTGAAGTAATCAGCGGAGAAACAAAGTTCAATTATTTTGAGAAAAGTTATGTTATAATGACACTACAAAAGTATGAAACTCAAACTATAGATAAAATGAGACTTTTAGCAGCAAAGGTCATCTAAATATGTGAATATTGTACAGGTAGCTTTGCTATACATGATCAAATGACATTCACACAAATCCAAACCAGTGCATCGGGGGATGGTTTTAAGCGAATTTCCCAAACAAGGAATTAACTGTTATGTTTTAGAGTGTGCTTTACTGTACATGACATAAGTCTAGAGAGAGTTTTAGTATAAAAGTAGCTGAATTAAGTACACAGCTTGACTGTTTTTATAAGAGGTTTCAAAATTGACTTTTCACATCGGTATGTAGGTACTTCTCTCCAATTTAAATACACATATTTTTTGGTTGAAAATGCAGTGACAGTGAAATTTGTTAACTGGTTTGTTTGGTGTAAACCTTTTCTTTTCTTGTGACTCTTTTCCATACAACCCACTATCCTCAACATTCCTTACAAACAATTTAAATTTTCAAACAGCAAGACTCATTTTTAGACATCATATATCACCCACCTTTTGCAAGATCTTGAGTCGTTGCTGCTATGACTTTCCACAGAGGAGGAGCGCCGTGCAGCTAGCGCTCGAGAATGTGAGTGCCCCGCCGAGCGCAGTGACCTAGGTGAACTACCAGTGTAGAGACCGCGTGCATGTGGTGCACTCCACGGTGCACTCCGGGTACTACGGGGCGAATCACATCTACCCGTCGCCCCTGTGCCTCTGTACAGGCTGCTTACTCTGTCAATGATATATTTCATCAAGTAAGTGGAAAAGTTAATTTAAGAAAAAAACATATACATTATAAAACTTGGCAGATGGATATAGATGACAAGCTAACTATAATTCATTACAGTTTAAAGAATTTAGGATATATTCAAATACATACTGAAAGTATGGCTATTAAAATTACTTTTAGTTTGTGCTTCTTTTTTAATTTTTGTGGGATGTTTTATAACTATCACTGCAACAAAACAAATGCAATGAATGAGCTAAATAATAAACTTCTTGTAGAGCATTGGAAGTGTTAATTGAATTTAAAAAAAGTAAATAAAAATATGTCTAATAACACTTGAAACACATACGGTACTTACACTTATACTATAGACTCACAAGACAGTGAAACATACATATACATACCTATACATATAAAACAAGGTAAGTGGTGATCGATTTCAATTGGACACTCCAATCATCATCAGACCCAATTGGTGAATTAAGTCAACAGTTTCAGTGTAAATATGTGTCTCAAGTGTTTTAGACATATTTTATTCACATTCTCCTAAATAAGAATTAGTAAAATAATATTTAAGTTTTAATGAATAAAATTTGTTATTGCCAAAGCCATTGTGGTATTTGGGATTTTACAGTCATAACTTGGGATCTTGTAAGCCTAATTATACTAATGAAGAAATGCAACAACTTTTTTAAACTTGATTCATTTTCAGTGTACATGTCTTTTTTAGTGTGTTAGGGATTATTACTTAAATAGTCATATTTTAAGTTGAAATTCATATTTTAGGTTTTTGTTTTTTAAGTGCTGTATTTAGCTACGCGCGCACTACGGCGGCACGGCACGGACGAAATTTTTAAGAGGGGGTGCGCGCACTAGGGCCGCACGGCACGGACGAACGGGACGGGACATCCGCCCGCACATCCGCAATGTAGGACAGTTGACAGTCTGCGAGCTAAAAATTGTGAGTAAAGATGGATGTAGATAAAGTGGTGATAGTAGGTTTAATTTTAGCAGAGGAAGAGGTAACAAGAAGGTGCAAGCAAAGATTTTAGATACACCACATAAACAGGAAAAGACTAAGTTTTGGAGAGTTACACACCTTGTTTCCTGATCTTGTAGAAGGATTATGTGTAAAACTTACCTGATTGTTTCATAATAGATCATATTTCTGCCCATATATTGTCACGCCGGACGTTATTAAAATATTCCGGATGACGCATGTTGTACAGTTTGGGGTTTTTGTCAACGAGAAAAATTAACTTACTAACATCTATGTTTACAACACACGAAAACACTGCTACTTTGACAGAGATCAGTTGAGAATGGCGGATGTCCCGTGCTGCCCGCCCGGTCGTTGTGCAGTGCTCCCGGTCGGTACGGGCGGTATGGGCGTCACGGCAGCTCGGAAATGTCCTGGAGTTCTGTCTCCCGGACTTTTTAACAAACGGCGGAAGCTGCCGAACGTCCTTTGCCAGCCGTACCGCCGTAGTGGGCGCACTCATATGACATTCAATGATATTAACTTTTAAAAATTGCCGTGCCGCCTAAGTGCGTGTGCAGCTTTACACAGGAAACCCAAAGTTCCATGCATAGTTTTTGTTCATAAAATCCAAAAATCAAAATAAAAAAAATAACAAAGTTAATTTTACTCTAATTTTAAATTTGCTGTATGGTCTGTGTAACATTATTAATGTTTAAAAATGTAACATTTTTATATGTCATAGTATTGTAGAAAGAACAATTCGTTTTTTCAATTTGCAGTATTAAAAAAAGTGTTAACATATATTTAGAAGTTTGTCTTTTTAAACAGACATTCTAAAGCTACGAGAAGAGTTGAGTGTTGCCGAGAATGAAGATACTCACGAGTTGACAGGTTGAGGAATTGAGACGGTTTTCATCTCCTGAGGGGGAATATTCTCCTTACTCATCGTCTCTTCCACTTTTGTAGCTGAAAAATTGAGCATTTACTTAAAGAAGTATGTATAAATGCATCTTTAAAAACTAAATTGGTAGTTGATGGTGGTTTCATAGTAAAGTAGGTGTATTTTCAAAACTGATATAATTTAATAAACCGCGTTATTATTATTCCTTTAGAAATGTCAAATGTAATATTTCCTGTATTAAATTAAAGGAAGAGATGCACTAATTAGACAACCAAAATTTAATTTTTATTTAATAAACTAAAAGTTGTCAAACACAAAAAGAAAACTTAAAATAGGTATAGAGCAAATATGAACCTAACAGATTTACCGTTGAGTTTTTAATCTGAACATTTTATTGGAATTCGACAAAAAAGCTGGGCATTAGACTAATAGCAATTTTGTGTTAGTAATTTTGGATAGAATTAAACAGAAGCTAAATTAAATTGCAGATAAATCAGGTCTATTAGACTACCTATATAAAAAACATTGTGATAAACATTGTATTGAACAATAAGAAACATTTCAGTGTGTTAGATAAGCTCATTAACCAATTAATATGAGTTTATGGTACCTTATATTAACAATCTTGGATAAAATTAATCTAAATAATAACATTTTGATTCAACAAAAAATTAAAAGGTTAAAAGCTATCCTCAAACTAAAAAAAGTTTTGGCCAACATCAATACATCTAACCAACATATAAAATACATTAAGTAGATTTCAAATTTCACAGTAGGATAAGAAGTCTACTTACACCATACAAAGTCAATGCCAATATGAGTCATTACTCAGAACATATATACAGTGTAATCATAAAAAAATCCTATTGTTTATGTGAACAATTCCATTTGCAAAGTTGAATATCCATGATTGAGTCATTCATCTTTCTAGGCAAAATCGACAAATAAGCAACAAAAGTTTTTTAAACACATAGATTTTAGAAAATATTTTGCCAAAGGTTAGGGTTAGTTGGTTTCCACTCACTGTCCTGCGCTCCCTCCACTATCCTCCGTTGATATCTTCGGCTTGGCGTCCGGGTGAACTGCGGAGGACTTCTCAACCTCATCTGAGCTTCTCGTTGAGAGATCTTCTCGGCTCGGCCACTACTGCAAAACAAATTAAGGTTAGCATTTCGTACAGTATGTGGTTCTATTTTAATTTTACAGAAAATAAGGTAGGCTAATGGGTTAAAAGAGATTTGTATACCAAATATTAGACATCTTGATCAGCATTTGACATGTTTTGGCTATTATGCAAAAATTGAATAAAATACAACTTACAACTCTTTTTGATATATCTACACTTTAATTTAGGTTCTGATACTGATTTCCAAAAATATTTTTCCCATAAACAAGGATTGGGTGTGTGCACATTTTTTTCCAAAAAGATATTAATTATGAGAATAACAGTTTTCACTGTAGGTATGCAAATTTCAACATTTTGAAAAAATATTCACAATTAAATATAAAATTATGTAGATGTAATGAAAATCAACAGGTTTACAAGGAGTTTTTGAGTGAATCTTTCTTAAAGTCATATTGAGTTATGATTTACATTTAGCATATACTAACTGTTGTACCCGTGCTTTGCAACGGGAAGAGGACACAAAATAGAAACATTTTAATCTTTACATCTGTTGCATATAACAGTTACACATCCCCCAACGCTTTTAGAAACAAAATTCAACTTTTATGGCCTTAATAGAAACGTTTAAGTTATGACTTTTAAATCTGGTAAGTAGTGGATACCACCATTTCATCTCCCTTAATAACATATCTTTTTATTTATTATTGTCATTTTAAATTTCAATTTTGAAGTTACTACTAATTTTTAAATTTAAATGAACATTTTTTAAATTTCACTCTTCTTTATATTAAATCACAAATCCTTCCATCTTCAGTTTCTTCAATCACAATAAATCATTAGCAAAACTAAGTCAGCTGTTATAAACTTTAGAAATATTGCTATGCCTTTTTAATACAGCCTTTTGAAATATTAAAGAAACTATATCCATAGGTACTATAAAAAATTTTTAACAAATAATTTAGCATTAAAGACAGCAGACAAAACTAATATGATTATCAAAGCGTCAAGGACTAAACAATTTAACAGCAAATACAGTATATGTTTGATTGCATCTCTGATTCTACTCTACAAAAATATCAACAAACAACTTAATATACAAACCAGTTCTTTTAATCAGTTCCATCGCCCATTGGCTTTACATTTTCACACTTACCATAAAGTAAACATAGTAACAGATATTTCATTGATTTTAGAAACAAAAGAACACTGTGTACTGCTTAGTTTTATGATATATTCCTTGGTTTAATTTAATCAGTGGTGTGGCAAAACAAAATAATAAATGTATCAAATAAAGTAAATGTGAACTGAAAGCGATGTTAAAATAAAATAAGAGTATTTTGTATTACCATTTGATAATTAAATATAGTTACACATATACAACAGATTTTATAACACAAAAATCAACGTCATACAATTTAGTAATTGACGATATTCTTTAGTTTAATTTAAGCATAGGTTTAGCAAAACATAATAACTTAATTTACCTACGTATAAAAACAATGTGATGTGCATTGTGCAAGTTATGTTAAGTTAATCTAACACATGTTAAGGAGTTAGAATTTATTCAAAGTAGCCTCCAAATTCATATAAAACATCTATACATTGTAATTTTCATACTGTTTCCATGAAATCACATTAATAACATTATTTTCATAACTTAGACGCTTTAAAAAAATCCAAAGCAGAGCCGGAGTTGATACAGCAACGGTTATAGAATCTTTTTTTATATAATCATTTACGTAGTTTTAGAATAAATAATCCATGATAAAAGGTTAAATTAAAATAAACCTACCTCATAGTAATGGAAAATATTATATTTAATTTCTTTGTATCAGCTGTCTGAAATTGTGAAATATGCAGTTTAGCAGTTCTTGTTTACATTTAAATGTCAAAGCAAATGTAAACAAACATTGTTAGTGTTCTCATCGCAGCCATGGAGACCAATCAATATTTACTTTTTAAAATCTTCACCTCACAACTTTTAAAGCCAAAGGGGCAAACCATACGGTCAGTATCGAAACGTGAATAGTCCTATAATGGTCCTTGGCATGGTAACTATATTTTTGTAAAATTTTAGCCCAGTTTGTTCAGTAGTTTTTGCACCTATTAGTAACACACATACAGACAGACACCATTAGATTTTTATATAATAGTATAGATATAGATTTTCAACTGTCATATTTACAGAACCCATAAAAATCTTGTAAAACAATATTGGATGAAAAATTTTATGGTAGTAATAGTTACGAATATTAGAAAAGATATGGAATGGATCATAAACATAAACAAATTACGTTACTGACCCAATAATTTATAATTCTGGCGATATTTGTTGTTCAACATCTTACCTATTTCTATTAGAAACAAACGTCCAATAATACATTTAATCACCTTTTACCTCTTTAACTTTGAAATTAGAAACAAACGCTTTTCATCAATTATAAAAGGCAATTAAGGCCAACTTTAGCAAAGTGCTGAGAGTTTTCTGAATATAAAATAAGGTGGTTAATTTGAAACAAGCTCGATAAAAGTTTAACTGCCGAAGTTAGGTTGCTCGATAAGCTAAGTTGCGGATCGTTTGTGAGTTACTAGAGAAAGATAACACGATATACAGATGCATTGTCGATTTACACAGAGCGTTTGATGGCTGCGTAAAATATGCAGCTTTGTTAAAGAGAACATTGCTCACTCATGTTTATCAGGTAAACTTGTTATTTGAGAGGTTTAGCGTTTTAAAACTATCATTTAAAATATTTTACACAAATTCTAACAAATCGGTTGAATAAGTTTGGAAACTAATAGAAATATATTAGTTAGATTAAATTTAACTATTGAGTTTTACATTTTTTGCATGAATAAAATGAGTGAGAATCCCTTTTAGAGGTAATAATCCAGTAGGCCTAAATCTAACAGGTATTTTGATTAGTAGAATGTTTTAATATTAGGCCTAAACAATTTGTATTGTTGTATAAAGAGGTAGCACCTAAAACAGTTGATAATTTTTGACAGAGTGAATTTATATGAAAAAACACAAATAAAAAAGTTTAGCACAGTAACACAATATACCTACTTATTGAGATGACTGTGAGAATATTTATCTTCTGTATCTATGTTGATCTGTACGTATATCATACGAAATATTTTTTATGTAATAAGATTGACTCACTTTTAAGATTTTAAAATACAGTATAAATAATAATTTTAATAATTTTAAAATAAATAATATACCTACTCTGCAAGTAAAGTTTTGGATTAAGTTTATGAATAACTTAATTTAAGTTTATGAATAACTTAATTTAAGTTTATGAGTTATCAGGAATAATTTAGATTTTAAATAAAAAATTAAATATATATTTTCAAAATCCACCACTAGTTGTTTCTTCATTTAAAAGTGTTTTGCTTCACTGTCAAATGAGCATTTTAAGCTTAAATCAGATGGAAATTATCACAAAAGACGGGAGAATTCACGGGGGGAATCAAGATTTTAGCATCAGTGACGCAGTTGACAAAGGAACTAGGTCGAACTGTATTCAACTATCAACTAACTTTTGAAACTCCAGACCATAACGACTCTAAATTGTGTTGAAAGTTAGTTCCCTGGTGGCCACAATGGCGGCGCTCTGATAAATTAAAGTTTCAACTTCTTGTCTGCCATTGATTAAAGTGGGGAACTTACAATATAGTTTTCCTACAGTCACCCGACAAAGTTGGCTTCCTTGCATTGATTATAGTACAGAAATCTGCTAATTGTTGCATTTACTTACTTTGTCTCGCAGTTTATACTTTGTCACACGGTTTATACTTTGGCGCACACCAGGATTCCAACCAAACAACACAAACCAGCGTGGTTTTATTATGCACGTAATCCGTTTACGCTTGGAAAGATTGACAACAATTAAAAATACTACTACTATGAGTAGTGGAGAACTGCCGGTTTTACCCCACTTTAGACACGTTTTTCCCATGTTATTCTTATGGGGATTATTTTTGGCCACCAAATCTAAAATCCTGATCTTTGTCTGCAAATCCCTATATAATTGTCAAACCTTATTTTTTACTTATTCTCTATATATATATATTCGGTATTAAGCTAAAAAAAAGCTAATTATTTCATTTATTGACTCATACATGTGTATATGTATAGTAGTGTAAAAACGCTATTCACTGCAGCAGGATGAGGAGCAACCCCCAATTGTACCATAGCACCCCACCATGTGTACACAATATTTTACTCGATTGTTTTGGATTTAATGCACAATTGCTAGTACATCTATCATTCCCCTTTCCAGTTGATATATTATATTTCTATTTCAAAATCATGTATGTGCGAACTCGGCTCATGGCGTGGGCACGCTCCGGGCTCCTGCTTCTTGCCTCTAGTGGTGGGGCTGTGAAATGGTATCCTTAGTGGAAATCCATGAATTCTGGCTACTTGGGAACCCAAGCCATTTGACATACAATAAATCACCCTTCCTCCTAATTACCTTTTCTACTAAATACATGTCTTTATATTTGGTCTTTAACAACTCCTCTGTATAGAAGCCTCCTCTGATTATATTACCATTTTCATCTTTCAAGATATAAGTCACAGGCTTTGTATTCTTAACTTCTACTATTGTAAATAGTTCCCCTGTCCAATTTGGGGTATATCCTTTACTAAACACATGTTTATATTTGGAAATTCTCACGCTATCACCTACCTTATATCTTGGCTTTTTAACTTGCACTACTTTAGAAGTCAACCTCTCATGCACATATTTACTGTTCTTAATATTCACTTGGTTAGGCTTCATTCCTATAGATCTATGCACTTTATTATTATATTTTCGAATTAACTTTGGAAGTAAATCCAACCATTTATAACTCCCCTGAGCACTAAATTCTCTATATAACCAATTCTTTAAAGTTCTCTGAAACCTCTCCACAATTGCAGCCTTAGTTGTAGAAAATGTGTGATAGTGATTAATATTTAATTTTTTCATTAGTTTGCTAAAATATTGATTAAAAAATTCTTTTCCAT